TCGTTAAGTATATTCACTTGCCCATATGCCCAAAGAAAAGAAGTATGTGACACTGAGGCAGTTTGCATTTAAGGATTTACTGCTATACAGGCTTTATGTTTTGAGTGTAAATACAAATATTAAATGCAGTATGAGTGGTGCTTTTAGGATAATTGGTTGCAACCTTACAACATGCCAGTGAGTGGGGGGGAAAAAAGTAAAAAAAAAGGAATTTGTTATTCAGCATTTAATGCACTAAAAAATGCTGAGTAAGAAATTCAGTTTTTTCCCCCCGCTAGCCTTTTCTTAAGTGCATCACTTTACCTTCTGCAAACTTTGCAGCAGTATGGCTTAGAATCTGAAAAGGTTTATGATCCATGCCTTGTACAGCTTTCTTCAGCTTGGTGTCTATGTAATTAATTTGTTTTGCTCGCCTTTTTTTTGCACATTAAAACCAAAGAGGCTGAAAAATACTGTGTTAAACTGGTGAGAAGGAATACCAGATTTAAAATTTTTGATACAGTTCAACATTAAGTATCTGCCAATAATCCACTAATCACATACTAACTTTACAATTTCAATGTATAGGCATTTGATATGCACTTTGCTTAAGATATGGCTATCTATGAATATTATCTATATAAATTTAAATCTATAATATAAAATGTCATGCACTGTAGTCTTTTCTGTTTGCCATGAATTGGAGCTTGTAGTGGTTCTTTAAATGCAAAACTAGTCTGTTTGTGTCTGTCCAGCGTTAGAGCTGGACAATAAACTAAATATATTGATTAACAGATATTACAAAAACGTATTAAACTAACCCCTAACCCATATCATAATGGAGCCAAGGCAGTATAGTATATTAATGAATAAAACAAGTAGTCAGTGTAAACTTTATTTTGAACAGGGTAAATGTGATTATTGTAATACAGATTTTTGGTTTCGTTGTTTAGCCCTGTCTAGTGTCCCTATAGGATTCATATTTGAGATAAATTTCACAGCTTTAGCTTTTTCCAAATGTTTCTAAAGGAATTCACTCACTAGCATTACAGATGTGGGACAGCTGCTCTGGAGATGAAATGTCAGTTTGGCAGCGTGAAGCGAAGCTAGAGATGTTGAAGCGTTGAAACCTTTCGTCCTCCAGCACAGTAAATTCCATGATTTTCCCCCTTGTCATATTCATTTTGTTGGTGTTTGGAGGGAGTTTCTCATGCTTTGTCTTTGCTTCCAACAGTGTGTGTTGCTTGTTCAACTTCATCATATTCCTGCATGATACTTCTGCAAGTTTTGTCACATTTCGGTTATTCAAGCTTCTAACACGGATTCCTTTTCTCTAAACACTTAATTACTGTGAGATTTACTAATGAGCAAAATTTAGGTATGTATGTGTATTCGTCAGGGTGGTCTACCATCAGGTGTTGGTGAAAAGCTGCCACACCCTTTGCAACATCACACATAAAAACCACTGATGCACACAGTAATGCATTTGTAGACATGGGGTAACCTGACCCCAGCGAGCTGAGTGCCTGTCACAGCTCATTACTATTGGGGTAAAATGAAGGCTGGTAGAAGTGGTTCTTTGCTTTACTTGGAGCCTCACCAAGCAGGAAGCCCTCAGCTCAGTGCACTCACAGCAACTCAGCAAACCACCCAGCCAGTCTACAGGAGCGCAGCACCTATACCAAGCACCTACATCATTACCACAAACCCATTTGTTTCCAGGCCAATAGCTCTCCAGTATCGAAACATAACAAGCCTGACGACTAAAATAACCTAATGGTTTACCTTCATTTAATTTGAGCCTGCCATCCACAAAACAAAAAAAACAGTTTTTACTTTTGTGTGTGACTGCTCATGGCTTTCTGACATTTGTTCTAACCATCTACTCAGGTGTCAAATTGTATTTTAATGTGTTTAGTGAAGGAAAGTGGCTACTAACTCTAGTTATCTGGTTAGCTGCCAGACCCAGTCAATAGAGGCCTCTCTGACTCCCAATTCCCTGCAGTCAGCACAGCAGCAATCAGCCGGCTGGCAGCATCTGCTGAATACTAATGCAATTTCCTGGTCGGTCTTGTAGAGGAGACTGGACGGCTGCAACCTGTGATTGTACCAAATAAAAACATAACTGCTGTGCTTCAAATTGATAAATTGATATTGATGAATTTAAAGACATGAATAAACATTTAAAGCAAATTGTAGTCTTGTATCAGGATTTCTATTAATTTTGTGGGTATATTGAGACACCTGTGGTGGAAATAAATTGAGCTTTATCTGCATCTATTTAGAAAAACAATCAGATTTCACACTGGTAGGGACAGAACATAATATAATAAACACAATGAAATAATCAGCTGGCATAAAAGTCTACAAACTGGGCCCTTTTCTGTCCTTGGTCTTCTGTAGTTCAGTTGACCTCATTTGTACATATCTATTGTTGTCTGTCTCTACATTAGTCTTCCTCTCAGTAGCTATTAGCAAGATACAAACATGTGCACATCCCTATCCCTGCGCCTCTTGAACAACCTTCTCTACATTGATTTTTTTCTTACAAATTCACTTTTTCAAAATTAAAATGGATGATTTTATAGATCCATAGTGTAACCACACTATAATACGCAATATATGAAAAAAAAATACTAAAAACAAAAATCGGACTACTCGATCAATGTCTGACTCGATCCTGGTTTTACTCACTCATGGAAATAGGCTGGATCCCAGGATATTTTTTCATCCATCTTCCTCTTGCTCCCCATGTGAGCTTTGCTGGAAAATAAGGCTGAGGAAAAGTGGAGGCTGAGCGCTGAACACACACTGATGGATGATCCAACCCATTGAACGAGGAAGGAAAAAGAACCCCAAGCCGAGCGGTGCTTGATGGCTACATTTCTCCCCTTTTTTTATCCTTGGTAGTGGAAAACATTCTCACTAAAACCAACTGAAAACTGCAAATGAAAGTTTGCAGATAAAACACTTTTGATGTTTGACAGCTTTTGCCTGAAAGCACACCTATACTATTTTCATGTTTTTGAGATATTTTTTTCTGTCTCTCTGGATTTTTTTTTTTGTTTGTAAGAGGCGTTTGCTGCGGGGCAGCTAACTAATCTCCATCTAGGTCACACTTTTTATTAACATTTTTTTGCTGATGTATTTGCATGTTCTGTGCTCTCCATACTGTAGGTGGTACGATTAAGTCCTGGTTAATTGTTTCAAGCTTTTTATAATTCACTTTGGGGGCGGGTTGAATCATGCTCGTGTTAAATCAAGCCAAATTTAAGACAACTGCAGAGGTGTTTGTACATGAAGGAAATTTAAAAAAAGCAGGACAAAGAAAGGAGTTGTGCAATAGTTTTGGGATGATTGGGGCTGATTTTCAGACATGGTGGTAACCAACACATGGGTCAGATTAGATTTGTACCAAACAACACTCACTTCCCAGAAAATTACTCTGAATATCTTAAAAGATGAAAATGTATTTACTGTATTCAGGAAAAAGAGAGAAGGAAGAAAAAGTACATTGCTGACAAACACACAAGCATCCTCCTTTACTTCGAACTCACTCAGTTTTCACTTTCACTTGCTTGCCCATGCTCTCACTCGCTCTTAGTGCAGTATCTTGGGATGTCTGATAAGTTGACTGGTGTTGAGTGACACATTTAATGCAGTTTAGAGGGGCAGGGTCATACTCAGTCGCCTCGTTCTCAAATTCAAAGTGTCAACTCAGACAACAGAGCTTAGATGTTTCTCCTGTCTGCCTCAGTGTCGCAACCTAACTCTCATTAAGGAGTGACCTCCTGTTGCCAGCTGTGGTTTAAGACTCCTCTGCAGCACTTCACATGGCAGATATTTTGGGATTTCCTCATTAGTGGCTTTTTTTCTCTGCCATATACTTGGAAACTGTGTTTGTAGGAAATGGAAAATAATCTAGGTAAGATGTTTTAACCGAGAGGAGTTAGAATAGAATATCTTGTCAGGGGAAGTGAATGACCGTTTCCAAGATGCCTCTGAGCGTGCCACTCATATGTTTCCAGTGTCCACCACATTAGATTACTGTAATTGTAATGTGAACTGTAATTGAACTGGGCTGCTCACTGTGAGAAAGTCTGTTGGTATGGTAATTGTCAAATGAATGATTGTCTAATTTCCGTCATCATATAATAACATGTTTCAAGTGCATGCTTCTATAAACACAGTGTTTCGAGTGCAACTTTTTTTTTTGACTTTACTGCTTTACTTTGTACAATAGGACATGCTTCCTTACCCATTTCCTTTTACGATGTGTAATGCTTGCTGCTCATTTATAGTTTCAGTTTCAAATCAGAAATGGACAAGGTTGGGGTAACCGTTAAATACTCTGGGAACTTTTATGGTGTCATTCCCCTCACTGTCTCCCAATGTTTGTTCATTTATAAGTAAGTTTTGTTTGTTTTTTTAATGAAATAACATGGATGGAACATATGTGAACTGTTTGTTTTATCAGTGATCAACACACTGTGACTTGAAAAGTAATGGCCAGTTTAGGATGAGATTAACGTTTGACATTCTTGCTCCAGAGAGGAGGAAACCTAGTAATTTAGGTGACCTTAAAACCTTTCTCTTGCAGGACCATCACACCACACGCTAATATAGCTCTTTTGTCATCTACTCATTGCAATGTTGAGTGTGAAGATAATGGCCAAGTAGAGAGAGCCTACACTTGTCTGTCACTCATTGTTTTGGGTCCAAGTGCTGTTACCTTGTTGCTGTGTATGCTTTATACACACTGATGTTGTGAGTGTAAATGGTGTGTAATGCTACTGGAAAAAAGGTGACAGATTAGTTTGTCTTTACACCAGGTAACAAAGTGTAAAGAAACCGGCATCTTACCAATAATGATTATTGAATTCTCTTCCATACTTTTCTGTCCTGTGAATAAGCTCCATTGTTTTTAGTTAATCTGCGATGTCAGTTTTTACTGAACTCATGTCACTGATGATGTTTCATTATCCACATCCAATTAACTCTGACCCTTTTCTCTCTTTCAGAACTCGATGAATCTTCCTCCAGATAAAGCGCGACTGTTGCGTCAGTATGACAACGAGAAGAAGTGGGAGCTCATCTGTGATCAGGTGGGCATCAGTCACTCATATGTATAATTTGATGTATTGCTGTACAAGTCACACTTTAATTGTGGCTGTATAATTACCAGAATCAGATTAGCATTAATGAAGCTTAGATATACAATTGTATAGATATAAAGTGAATTATTTCATTTATCAAGTAATCAAATCAGCCTTCTTTGCAGTTGAACAAATCTCATTGATTGTCGCACCTATCTAATCCTGGAGAACATCTGTCCCACTGCGTGTCATGACAGCACCCATGCTCCATTTCCCTGCCTTTATCCTGTAAGCCTCTCTCTGTCTTCACACACTGCCCTGGCTTCCCTGGTCAAGTGGGTTAAGTGGCTCAGCAGGGTGCACACATCAGTTACCCAGTTAAAAAACAGTTGTTATTGGTGTTTGTGCTGCGTGTAGGAAAAACAGAGGGTACATGTTGTGCAGTGAGCCATGGTCTGAGTGCTTCACTCAGCCCGCAACCTCCATGCCAGAGAGTTTTTCTGCCTCCCTGAGCAGAGAAGAAAAACGGAGACACGATCAAGACCACCACCCACTCAAACTGTATTGATAGCCACTGACCCTGAAGGGAACGGTGCCAGAGAGAGTGCCCCAGGCTGCTGACCAGCAGTCAGAGATCCTCTTTCAGTTCAGAGTGGACTCCGTGTTCCTCTGTCAAACCTGAACTGAAAAATGTTGGTTTCCCTTTTATTGTCAGTGAAGCAGTTTCCAATAACGTTGCCCAGTGACTTTGAAGACAAGCAGCTTGGTTTCTTGATACTTTCTAACTTACTGAAAGAGAAGACAATGCAAATACGCTAAGTGTACTCTGTCCATGTGAATCCATGTTTAAAATGGCCAGTAGTATCGGACTAACTATATAGCATTGTAAATCCTTTACAGGTCAATAAAGTGTCAAAAGGTTGATGTGTGACATCAACATCAGAGAATATTGCTAAACTAGTCCTCCAATGTATTTATTCCTCTCTTGTTTTCCCAATAAGCCCAGACCCATGACAGCACAGGCAGCCCTGGGAGTAAAGTATTTTCTGTGTCATAGCTACAGTGAATCTCTTTATGCAACCATGGCAACAGTGATGGGGCAGTGATGGAGGGAGGCAGAGATGACGGGTACATCCGCTTTGAAAAGCCCTTCAAACGCTGCAAGAGGTTGACATATTAAACATTTTCCAGGCAATTATGGGGATTCTTGAAATAAGGAGGATGATCTTAATGTGAACACAAGGTTAAAACGTATAGAGAAGAAAGGGATAGGATGAAGTCATCACTGTCAGACCCTGAGACTTCTCATAATCCTCTGGCTTTTGTTCATTCGGATGGGTCTTTATGTGTACTACTTGAAAGCACCTTGTCTGGCAAAGAACTGCTTGCCCACTTTCATGTTAACTGTTCTTTCATCTCTTGAGTCCCTTCTGAACTCCTCAGGTGCAGAGGGGGATAGTGTACCTCCCATTTAAACCAAAGCAGCTCCCTCAGACAAACTGTGTAACTGTCATAGAGCACGTTGGAACATGTGCTCCTAAAAAACAGACTCTAAAGTTGTCTCACATTTCTTTGCATGCAACAGGATATACACGTGTCAGCTCATTTACTATTTTGCAGACTTGCAGATAATTCATTAACAATAAAAGGCTCACAAAGGGCCGAGCCGTCTGTCTGCCTGCCGCTGTCAGCTGTGTCCATGAGGGCCAACTCTCTTTCCTGACGCCACTGTCGTCTTTCCTGTTTTCATGCGACAGATACACTCTGGCAGTGATAAATGTGATGTTGCTGATAACACAGCGTAGCCCAGAGCTTTGATCTGATATCAGTATCTGTATGCAGAGTGCGGCCCAATGACATAAACACCTTTTACAATACGTGATACAATTTAGTAGCCTTGTAGTGAATGCTACCGTAACAGTATGAAGCTGATACCTAGACTGTCAGAGCTGTTGAATGAGTCCTGTGGTCATTTTTATACTGTAGTTTTTGATGCTGTTGAATTGATTCCATTTTACTGCATTCCTGCTAGTTTGTCAGTTCTTTGATTAGAGTACATGAAAGGAACATCATGCCTGTGACCAGTGTCCATGGCCCCTGTCTTTATCACAGAAGGCAATCACAGAAGGCATTCTGGGAAATGAAGGATCAACAAGTAGACAAGGCAGGTTAAAGAAACATGGTCGCACTAAAACAAGTGTAATAGCAATTGTCCATCCATCGTCAACCACTTATCCTGCATACAGGGTTGCTGGAGCCAATCCCAGCTGACATCAAGCGCAAGGTCACATTGTGAACACAAATGAGCAATAGGTGGGAAGGCATTTAGGGATCATGTTCTTGTAGCTGCACTTGCATCTCCTTCTTGTTGGTTAGGGCGACTGAACAGTGTGGGGTTGGATCTGGCACGGATAGTGAGGCTCATTCTGGTGAAGGTTGTCACTGGCAGGTGAGGGCATGTCATGTTTGAAAATAGTGTCACTGTCTACGCTGTCCGCAAAGAGACAGAGAAGTGAACAAAGACAAAAAACTGGAGGAGAATGTGACATTCCCAATTATGGAAATGAAAGTGAAAATAGAAAGCCAAATCCAGCAGACACAAAATTGCGACAGTGGCACAGTGTTTTGAATTCCCCCCCTGGAATTACTTAGTTAATGGATTACAACCTAAACAATAGCAACACTTGCAGTGTCTTTTTTTCCCATGAGGGATTTTTTTATCTCAGTGAAGGTGGCCTTGTTTCACCTCCACCATGAAACACTCTGTTGGTGCTGTTTGAACAACAAAATAGAATATGTAGAAAATGTGCATTGACTCAGGAAACCATTGAACTACCTCCTGGTATGTGAATGTACAACTCTCCTTAAACTAATTAGCAAATGTTTGACTTCTTACTGTACTTATGGGTCTTTAAGGGAAAATGTTTTTCCATGAAATAAACACAAAGAACTAACACACAGAGACAGAATCCTTATTTAGATGTGCATCTCAGATCTTTGCGTACTCTGGTACGCCAAAGATGGATGATATGTAACAAAAAAGAAAAAGTCTAAAGGTAGACTTTTCCTTGAGGGCAGTCAGTTGTCTAGCTAATGGTTTAATGCCTAATGCCTACATCATATGAAATATACACCCTGTTCAGTGTCACACTCTCTGATGCAGTGCATTGTGGGAAATCACTAAACAGAACCATTCATGCTTCTGTGGTTGGAGCTCAGCCTGATCCAAATACGTTTTCCCGCTCAACACACTGATCCAAATCCAGCACTAATCTCTTGTATTTATATTTAGAGCACAATGAGGAGGGATTTGACCTAAAACCTGTTCCTGGCTGAACTTAAGACCCGTACCCACACGACCATACACGTTTGGTCATAACCCCCAAGCAGGTTATACTTCATAGCACTGTAAAACTAATCACGATCATTAACAGCGAGATTGTTTATGACCCCCTGCAGGCTTACGAGCTTAACAGTCAGTCTCGTTGCTTAGTGTTATCGGACTGTGACCAGTTATCTGAAGAGTTCATCATATTCCTTCTCTTACCTGTCCGTCAGCTAAACACCTTTTGATGCAGAAATCACTGTTAAGCTTTGACTATTTTGCCAATAGGAGAATGGAAATATAGTGACATTTCATGTTGTTGTCATGTGCCAAACATCTACTCTAACAAATATTAAATTTGTAGTTACAGTACAACTGTCTACACAAGAGCCATTCTTAAAGTTCAGCACAGTTATCTTTGAATGAGCCCAGATGTGAGTTTTCTGAGAAGTAATGCTGATCTCCAGTCAGATTAACAAGAAATTCCCCCAAATTGGCCCACCGAGTGCGGCGTCATTACACCCAAAGTATGAGGTCACAAACAAAAGCATGTGACCTCATACAAGGGCATGTCCACTATAGCAGGTTCTGAATGGAGGACTCATTGTTATTGTCTTTCTGCCTCTAAAAGTAAAACCTAATCTGGTGTTTCCATTAACTGACTGATGACTCATGATGACGATGTAATTTACTCAAAGCCTTTTCAGTTTTAATCTACTGGCTTTAGTGTCAACCATCGTTAACTGTTATACAAACTGCCAGAAATTATAACTAAAGTCATGATGTTACTGTAAATGTAATTTCTGTTTTTGTTAGAACAAACATTTTCAAATGTTAAACTTCCTCTCTCTGAGTCTTCTTGCTCTGTACCCTGTCATCTTCTTTCTCTCATCTGGTTTTCCCTTTCCTTTTGCTCATCTCACTGTTTTGTTTTCCTTTTTTCAACAGGAGCGATTCCAAGTGAAAAACCCACCTCACACGTACCTCCAAAAGCTGAGGAGTTATCTAGACCCCGCAGTCACAAGAAAGGTGAGCACCCTCGCTAACATGCTATCCTGTTCCACCGGCCTTGCTGTTCCACTGCCGCAGCTTTTTCCTTCCTCTCTGACCCCTCTATCTCTTGTCCAGGATATCCCCACAGCTGAGGAAAGATTGCACACAGTGCTTCTGGAGCAGACAGCTTGGGAGCTTTAGTTACAAAACAGTCAACAGTGTGACTTGGTGAGAAAGGAGACAGTTGTTTATCTGGAACGCCCAAGTTTGAGAAACCTCTGCCCAGCTGAAATGTCATTATCCTTGAATCCTTACCAATCCCTAGCGGTGTTGTTCTGTGGCTGACAGCGCGCTCTGACCTTTCTGTAAGGACGAGCAATAGGGAAAAAAAAGTTTCTTGAAGGCAGAGGAGAGAATAATAATGTTGAAGACAGAGAGAGATGTGGTTTGCTAATTGCTAAATAGACATTGCCCTGCAGCATGGCACAAGCTAACAGGAGATATCAGAAGTGTCATCTAAGAAGCCAGCTCTAGCCGTTTCCCTGGCTGCTTAGAAGGAAGCAGAAGGGAGTAAGAGGAGGGGCTCCATGAAGCATCAGCCAGCTCTCAGGCTTAGCCAAAATTAAGTCTTTTTGGCCTGGGTGAGAGAGCTGTGGGAGAGAAAGTGCTGGGAGACCGGTCTCTGTGATAAACAAATTAACCAATAGACTCTGCCAGAATAACAACAAATAGCTGAATAATTCAATTTGCACTGATTGTAGTTAAAATTTGACATCACAATAAGCCAGCTACAGCAGCATGAACAGAGCTATAATGGCTGTGGAAAAAAAGAGAACAATGGCACACATATATAACATAAACTCCTACAAATCACAGCACACACAGAGTTGCTGAATTACATTTCATACAGTACATTTTGTGGGTAATCAGGCCTGCATTATTGTTGATGTGCAGGACAGTGATTCCCAACTGCTGTTAGCTCAGTCGGGAATTCTGCAGTTTTACCAGTGGTACGTGAAAAGATTGTGGAGTAGCTTTACTTCAGCTATTACAATCAGCTATAACACCTCAACACCACGTGCTGAGATATGAGAGTATAGTTATTGTGTAGAAATGTTGAAGAGTTAGCTAAAAGTAATGGATAATGTGTAAAACAGTCCAAAGTAATGGTAAATGGTTGAAATAGATAGCTACAAGTAATGGATAAACAGTATAATAAACAGTTGAAATTTTGCTGACAGTAAACAGTTGAAATTTTGCTGACAGTAAACAGTTAAAATAGTTAAAAGTAAACAGTTTGCTAAAGTAACAGTGGAAATAGTTAGCTAAAAGTAGCATTTGGTACTAAACGTAATGTACAAATGGTTAGCTAACACTAAACAGTTTACTAAAAGTAATGGATTAACAGTGGAAATAGTAGCAGTTGGTAATGTTACAGTTGGCTACAAGTAATGTATAAATGGTTAAAACATCCAGCCCCTCTTAGTGGAAGCCGTTCAAATGCAAACTAGACCAAACCACAAATCTACACATTTGGTTCAAATAATAGCGCTAAACAACATTTTAATTTAAAATCATTTCCAATCAACACATTTCATGAAGAGTGCTGTCCAACATTTACATTTACTCATTTGGCAGACGCTTTTATCCAAAGAGACTTACATTTGAGGAACAACATACAATCATCAATAGAACATCAATACAGCAAGAGATCTACACCTGACAATACAAACCAGTAAGAGCAGCAATAAATACTAATAAGAGCTAATAGTATATATGACTTGGCTGTGAAGATCTAGATGGAATAAGTATTCATCGTCCCTGCTTCTTCACCTTCTGCTGAAGTGCTTTTGAGCAAGGCACTTAACGTCCAACTGCTCCATGGGAGATATCAGTGGCTATCAGTATGTGCGACAGTACCCTTTTGCAAATTTCCTGTTTTAAGAGATTTAGGGTGTATAAATGGGTTTTTGTGCGGTTTGGAGTGTTTGGATGTAATAAATGGAAGGATCATTTCCATTTTAAAAGAATAACTTGACATGCTCTTATTTACTTATTTTCTGAGAGTTACCTGAGGAGACCAACACCACTCTTATGCCTGAATCTGTTAAATATGAAGCAACAGTTAGCCTAGCTTTGCAAAAAGACTGGAAACTGAGACATAGGGACTCTTGTTCTGTCCAAAGGTAATAAAATCTTACTAGCAGCTCTAAAGTTCACTAATTAACATGTTTAGAGCTGTACAAAGAACAGAGTGTAAAAACAACAAGTGGGTGAGTTTTAGAGGTGCTAGTAGGTGGAATTTTATTTCACGCCTGGACAAAAACAGCCTGTTTTCAGTGTTTAAGCTAAGCTAACTCCTGATTGTAGTTTCATGTTTAGCTTACAGATATGAGAGCGCTATCAATCTTTTCAACTAACGCTGGGGAAAAAATGACTAAAAGTAGTTCCAAAACGTCAAACTATTCCTTCAAGAAGATGGTGACCATGTTTTAAGCTCTCGGGGTGTAAATAAGCCCAGCGACCCTGTACGCAGGATAAGCGTTTGACGATGGATGGATGGATGGACGGATGGGTGTAAATAAGCAACGCTGTCATGGCTGAAGGACCTCAGACAGACTAGACAGCATGTACTAATGCTTGTTTGTCTAACAGAGCTGATCTAAGTGACGTCCTCCTCTTTTTTTGGGGATTAAACTCATCTGTGGTCAGGTCTATATTAAACCACCCTAGATTAGACTTGCCCAAACCTCCTTTTGTTTATTTATCATCTTGTTTTTAATGTATGTTCTCACTGGCCGAGACACGTGGGCTTTTTGGGAAAATCTGCCTGTCCTGAATTGCCTCCTTGATCAAAAACTTGAAGCAGACAAGGAAACAGGAAATGCACGAGAGTAAAGTGAGAAGGGCAAGGGAGAGGGAGAGAAGAAGACTGAAAAAGGGAGAGAGGGTAGAGGGGGAGAAAAAGATAAGGACAGAGAACGAGAGCAAGACAAAAAAAAAGAAGCACAAGAGAGCACGGGGGAAAAGAGAGAGTTATGGGCTTCTTTCTACATTCCTGCTCCATCCCCCTTTTCTTCAAACTCAAAACAATTGCTACTTTGTGCCGCTGTGAGAGAGCTGGAGGTCATTGCCTCTGCTTTCCATAGGCAGGCTCCGGTGCATTCCTCTGGGCAGCTCCCAGCCAATAGGCAGCCAAGGAGGAAGAGCTCCAGTCCAACTAGTCCCCAAGAATGTATCAGCCATTGATTTTTTTTCCCCCAGGATGACCCCTCCTGAGCTCACACTGCCCCCCCCCCCCTCCAACTCCTAGTGCTTTCTCTCTGCTCTCACTTTCCCCTTTCACAGCTCCCTCCCTGTCTCCACCTCTTTTCCTCCTTTCCTCCTCATGCTGTCTTCACCCTCCACCCCCCACCCCCCACTGTCGGCTCTTCTCTCTTCCTGCTCTCTGCAGCTGGTAGTACTTAAAGTGTGGAGTGTAGGGCGTTTGGTGGGAGAAGAAAGGGGGGTGCCTCTGGGAGCCTGCGCAGTACCCTTAAATATGCTCCACTTTCCACGCAAACACACAAAGGGCTCCTCCCTAATAAAAACACTCTGTTTCTCATCTCCTCATGTGCCAAACACACCGCCCAAGCCCAAAGACAGAGACTAGAAAGAGAGAAAGACCCTAGCTATGGGAACAGCTCTCTTTTCTTTAGATGTTTAATAATAGGTTAACACAGGGCTGAGCTCTGTTTCCTCCCTGATACAAACGCATCATAGAAAGTGATCAGGCCCTCTATCCCTGAGTGGATACTTGGACTCTTCTCTTCTCTTCTCTTCTCTTCTCTTCTTTCTCTTCTATTATCTATATAAAAGACAAAGTCCCAAAAAAAAGTGACTTGGTGATTAATCAGTTCTGCAACATAGTTGCAGATTAAGTTTCAGTTGATCAACTTATTGATTAATCGACTACAAAACCTTTTGTATATTGTTGTAGAAGGTTCGACTGGGGACGTCTTGATTATTTCAAATCGTGACAGTGAATGGATTTGTTTGGCCTGGGAAATTATTAGAAACCATTTTTATATAAAAATACCTTCCCTGAAGTTACATAATTTATAATGTTTTGAATTTTTAAGGACTTGATTTTCTTCTGTTTTTTCTCCTTTTGACTTAATGTAATTTTAGGCTAGTGACATTTAAAAAGCAGATTTTTTTTCTCCTCTCATCTGATACAACAGTTTCACTCCCTCTCAGGGATTTCCCCCTCCTGCCTGATCACCACTGGCCATTCACGTTGCTTGTTTTGTTGCTGCGTTTGTGTAACAGCCTGAAGGACCTTTCTGTTATCGGTTTTGCTGATCACCTCCTGTCAAAAGGATGAAATCAAAGAGGAACCCGCTCACTTTCCCTCTTCTGTTGTTTTCCATTTCATTCACTGGCAGCTCATACCTTCATGCACGTCCCTCACACACTTCTCTCTTATTGCTGTAGCCACAGTAACAGGGCTGAGAATGTGTGGTGTGTGTGTGTGTGTTTGTGTGTGTGTGTGTGTGCATGTGTGTTTGTGAGGCTGCTAGGTGTCCTGGTGGGGCTTGAGAGGTCACCAGTTAGGTTGCTTGATTTTATCACAGTCCTATCAGCAGGGATTACTGCTATATAAAGACCAACGTGAGCAAACAAGATAGCGGGAACTATTCCATATTTACAATTTCCAATGAGTCAGCTCGCCTTCTGTTTTAACCTGTTGAATAGTTACTGGAAAGTAAAAGGCCCGCTTTAAAATCTTATGAGAACAACCCAATCTCAACTTAGATTTTTATTTTTTTTTGTAATTAATGCACGGCTTGCCTGCTTTCACATTTAAATGTCACTGTGTGGTTGCGTCTGTTTGCTTGACCTTTCTGTCAGAAAACGTTTTCTCGAGCCAAAACATCCTTGCCCTACCACTTGATGATTTACAGTTCTAGTAGTATGATGAAATATTAACTACCCCTCCCCCCTTTCTTTCCTCAGAAATTCAGACGGAGAGTTCAGGAGTCCACCCAAGTCCTCAGAGAGCTGGAAATTTCGTTACGGACCAATCATATTGGGTGAGTCACTGCAGGATTGTGTAGCTCTTGTGCTAGCATTGAATGTCCCGAACTGCTGGCTGTATGAGTTTTCAGGGGGAAAAGTCTGACATTCCAGACACCCGGAGACGCAGACATTGACACTAACCACCACCACCGCCATCCCCCATTCATCTCTGGGGCTCCGGCCTAATATTACACAGAAAGCCATGTGGGGAATGGAGAAAAGATGAATCCATTAATTGTTTGGGGCGGCGACACATGAACAGACTCTGGAAGGAAAACACATTTTTCTTGCAGTAGTTGAACTGCTCAGCTTGACACTTAAGTGTGTCAGTCTGCCATCCTGAAGAGGTATTATGGATGTTACTAAGAGGGCATGATTTAACAACAGATAAAAACACTGGAGGATTCAGGTGTAATTCCAGGTATTCCAGGTTAACAAGCCTTTGCCTGCTGCAACTGGTAGTGATTAAGTCTTGTACAGTCATCCTTAAGGAAAGATCAATATCTCAATGAGCGCCACACAATGCCTCAGTGTTTTGTCTTGCTCTAGATCACAGGGCTCGTCTCTGTGATTAAAGACGCTGATAGTTAAAGACTGTGATGGATTGCTCAACACCATTAATGAGGCCTACATTCTGGCATCATTTATAAAGGCAAGTTCTAAATGAATATACAGCATGGGGACAGAAAAGAAATTATTTCATTTTATGTTACGGTCAAACTGCAGTACACAAGAGACATTAGGCACAGTACAATGTAAGTGTAAATAATAGTTTATCAATTAGCCTTTAATTCACTTAATGATTGGTGTGCTTTCATATCTATTTCAACATAAAAGAACAGAAAGCTGGCTTAATTAAATCAAATCAAATGTAAAGTAGCAAAACAGTTCTTAATTCATGCAGTATGACAGAAACGGGACAAAATAGTGGCATTAAAGGGAACACTACCGATTTTACACATTAAAGTGTGTTTACAGGTCTTGGAGGGCACTACTGCTGCATATGTGAAGGAAGTTGTATAAAGCCTTTTGTGGCTACAGAGGGAGCTGCACAAAATCTGATGTGTTACCTCAAGTGATGTTATGTCGGTCAGGGCAGAAGACTTCAAGTTTGAAAATAAAAATGTCTGGGGATGTAGAGTCAGAAGGAAGTAAGCTTACCAGACCTCTGTAGCACATTCCTCATCTCTGCTTGAAGATAGCAACTCATGGCTACATTAGCCGCTACTAGCATGACATCCAAATCTACAGCTGAACTGGCAGTGGTCTGGTTGCCTTGTGGGTAATGTAGGTGCCAGGCTTTGAAAAGCAAGATGAATACATGGAATAAAAAAGACAATAGATCTTGTTCTTGTTCCGGTTTCGGATGTTTTTTGACAGTCCATCTTGATTTCGACAAGTGCAATGTTCTGTTAGTGGTATAATTTCACTCTGAAAAAAGAATGACCTTGTTTTCCAATGATTGTTGATTATCAATCATTTCTTACTTACATGGTTGACAGTAGAGTTGGTATATGTGTCTATAATTTAGGAATTTATTACATTTACCAAAGATTACTTTCCCAGAGTTTGTTGGGATTCGTGGTAAGGAGTGGTTCAAAATGTACTTGCATGTTCAAGCACATGATTCTATTTATATTAAATTAGTATATGCATGGTTTCAGCACACCACCGTGTGTATTGCTGTTGAAGGTGGGTGGTCACAGGAAATATGGAGACCCTGTCAGGGACAGGGAGAGGTATCCATGAGAACATCTGCTGGCCACAGACAGCAAAGATGCAGAGATACACCGGTTATACAACCATCACATGTTCTGAAATACTCACACATGTTATCTAAACTACATCTCTTATGCCCTCTGTTTTTCTTGTTTTCCTCCCTCCCACACACACACATATTACTTTACTCTAATTAGTCTATTTCACACAAATCATCTGGTGTTTCTGACAACACTGTCTCTCACACTCCTACACACTGATTATACACGGATCAGATTCTTCTCTGCAAACCAAAATAAACTTAAACCACAGCCAGAGATGTCTGGCCAATCGGTTGAGGCACTGTTTACATGGATTAATTCTTTTTAGAGACCCTGTGTTGGTAAACTAGATTACATAAATAATCTGCCTAATCTAGATTAGACAATTAAGCATTACCATAATGGCAGAAGGACCTGAAGAGAGAGATAGAGATAGTGGGGTAGGGGGTGAGGGAGCAAGATGTCGCCCACTCAGACAGTGAATAATTAATGCTTGTTTTCAGAGGTGAAACAGAGAAATATATCTATATCATGTAGGCTTTGTATAATGGGCAGATTGTCCCCGTAGGAACACTGCTGATAATAACCCCGGCTCCCTGCCTGCCTGCTTCTCACATGTTGCTCAGTGGTCAACAACATGTGGTGAATGGGAGGATTGTTAGTTAGTGTCCTGTGGTAATGATTACCATGTGGCCAGACAAGGCCACACCTCCAACCCCTTTTAAAACCACGACGGGCCCCACCAGGCACTGCTTTACTGCTCGCTGTCGTTAGTCTTACTCGCTCCTATGGAGTTACACCACAGGGGAGCTGATAAAGAAGCAGCTAGTGGATTTTTAAAGCAGTTTAGTCTTACATCTTCATCAGCACAGTACCAATCAAAAGCCTTTGTGTTATTATGTTTATGCCCTGCAAATTTCTCTAATCACTGAGCAATCAGGCCTGTCGAAGCAGTTGATGCACCAATAAAAAGAGACAGGGCACCTTCATAGAACGCGATAAAATAAAGATGTTCTGTGATTTGGCTCACACTGCTTATAAAAATAAAAAAAGCACATGTCAAAGGTAGCGGGAGCTTTCCTGTGAAAAGCTTGGCATTTCTATGCAGAATAAAAAATGAAAGCATGCAGTATGCTGAATGGGTGGCCCACTTCAGTGCCTGTAAAGAAGGTGAGAAGGGGCTTTTGATCATTCTGGGGTTTGTCTTTGGAGTTAGAGTGTGTGTGTGTGCGGTACAGAGATAGAGAAAACAGGCAGAATGTAATGCAATTCTGTATATGTGTGTGGATGCCGGTGCTTTTGCAAACACATGCATGAGTGATATGTTTGTTGCTCTAAGCCAGGAAGCTTTGAAGTTTTCTCAAATGGGTACAATTCTTCTTGGTAAAGGGAGGGCGAAATCGAGGGAGAGAGGGTGAATAATCTGAAAACATCTGTATACCAAGGTCAGGCATGGTCCAAGCCTGCATAGGTTACCACGCATTATATACTATACAAATAATCTCAAATATCTTCATTTTCCAGATTATTAGTCATCACATGACCAAATAATTAAAAAAATGTTGTGCAGTGTGTGTGTGTGTGTGTTAACATTTTGTGAGGCATGTTGATATTAGACATGTTAAACATAGATACTTGTTGAGATGCACTGGCGTAGTTAATTAAACACGTAGTATATACAAACAAACAGGGAAAAAATGGAAAGAAAAGAGAAAAAATAAGAAAAAACAAACCTTCCATCCAACCACATTGAGTGCTATCCCTAGAATGGTGTCATTAAGACTGAGCATGGCTTCCAAGGTTCTTTCTCAAAGCAGTTTTTATTTTTTATAATTTTTTTTATACACGTGTGAGGTACTGGTCACACTCCCAATTTTTTCCAGACTCTAAAATTCGTTTTTATTTTTAGCTGTAATTATCCCAGACGATGAGTTTTTGTTGGAATCCATTCAACTAATATAAAAGATGATTCTGATTCTAACTACTGATCAAGTACATTTGAAAGTGTACCTAGAACTCTATCCAGATTTGTTGCACTGATAAAACTTTTGTTAAACTTGTTTTCACCTCTCTTCAGGTGGGTAAGAGAATTCTTAAATGAAGAGAACAAAGGCCTGGACGTGCTGGTGGAGTATCTGTCTTTTGCACAGTATGCCGTCACGTAAGTCACTAACTCTTTCTCTCTATACCAATATAGTCTAGATGCAGAAGTGACAACCAGCACAATGCCGCTATTCTGCTCAGCTGCTGATGCATCTCACACAATACCACCACCACCGCTGCTGCCTGGTTTTCAGAAACACTGAGTCACTCGGGGCCCATTGCTGACACATTGGCATCGTGTATAATACCAACCATAGGCTTCTATTCATAGATTGATGGTGTGATTATTAGTCAGTCACAAGGTCCCTATTCAGGGCCAAAGAGCCACGCAGTTAAATTTTTTTATTCACCGCCCCCCCCCCCCCCCCCCCCACACACACACACTTCACCATATGTTATTATGGTCTGTCCACATTATGAATGGTTAGCCGTAAAAGTGTGTTTACCCAGAGTACCACTGCAGCAGCATTTAAAAGTCATGGAAACGAGCAGTCAAAAAACTGAAATAGATCATAACAGGTTTGGCATAACTGCCCGCTCTTTCCAAGGTTTCTGCCAAGTATAACAAAACATGAGACCTTTTGCTTACCTATTATGTCTAAACCAAAAACTTTCAATTTTAGCGGTAGCACTGGAGATGAGCACATTTTCACCTCTGCCAGCAATCATTAATATTAATGCCTGACCAATATATGAGACACAGTACAGGTATATGTGAGATAATTACTTAGCTTACAACAGATGTATCTGTATTTTTTATATATATCTATATTTAATTATGTTAGCTGCTGAAGGTATAGACAGAAGTGTATGCTTAGTGGCTCGCTAACTTATGAGGCATATTGAGTTTAACTTATGGTCAGTACAGGTGACATGTTGGTTACCTTAGCATTTTTGTCATCTTAGCTAGGCTATCTTAGCTAGACTGGTTGCTGGGCCACTGGTTGATAAGGTACTATGACGACTGGCAAGGAAAGGCTTTTCGCTAGCACATGTAGCATGTGTCAAACTGGTCTAACAGATGTTATCTAAACATTGTACTGTTTTACTGTTACTGTCATGTATTAAATAAAGCTTATTTTCAACTTTGAAATGTTCCACGTCAAACATACCTTTAAGTAAGAACATTTTAGGTATTTTTTTTGTTGTGTTTAACAAAACAGATCATGGGTGTTTATATTGTTATCAAATTTATATTGGTATAGTCTGGCTTTAATACCAAGTAAACGTTTACTGTCTTGGTTTCTTATTTTCTGTCTTGTTTCCATGGTGCAACAGGTTTGATGGAGACTGTGTGGAGAACAACCCAGAGGCTGCGATGGATAAGTCTAAGCCCTGGAGCCGCTCTATAGAAGACCTGCACGGAGGAAGCACCCTGCCGTCTCCCATCACTGGGAACGGCATCACACGTGCTGGCCGACATTCCACAATACGGTACGATGCACACACTTATTAATGGTTAAAAAGATTCACCATTATTCATGTTTGTTGGTGTAATTTGTTGCTTTTATAAACAGCTTTTCTAACACTAACCTCCCCCCTCCTCTTTTACCTAGTGTTAAGCTGGAACAATGTGGTTGTATTGTGATTATTTTGAGAAGTCACACATTTCATATGATGCATCAGCAGCCCCTTTATGTGGTCATGAGGTTTGTAAGACTTTAAATGGATTAAGAAACATTTTTGCCGCAGGAGTCAAATACCATTTATCTGGATTTTTTGGATTGTCAAACTTGGACTAGTTTTACACATGATTGACAGCAATGTCAATTTTTTTTCATGTGACAGATGATGCAGCTCTTTTATGGAGCAAATCTTTTTTTCTGTTTTGTTTTTATGAACACCAAACAGACCATTTTAACTCCAAATCCTGTGCACAGAGGATTTCACAGCAGTTAATTCATAAGCCTATGCTAATATATGCTCTGAAGCACAAATCCCATTCAGTTGTGCATTATTTCTCTAATCCTCCCTGTCCTTCTATTGATGTTTTGGTACAACAATCACCCTTAGTTTTCTTGCTAAGATAACACATGAAATAAGTCAATGTAGCGTACAAAAAATTTACATCTTTTGCATTCCTGTATTACAATTATTTAGACTCAAACCTATGTTTGCCATCACTCATAGACATGGTGTGTCTTGTTTATAAAGCCACACCTATAATTTGTGGTTTAGTAGAAAATCAATGCAAACTTTATTTGGAAAACTTTTGTGGGAATGTCTTTGGTCTGTCAACAAAATTATGAAATTCTTGGACTAGAGTTTGCAGCAGTTTGCGTATTGGATTTACGTATATTTACTGTGTGAGGCAGACATTTGAATGGTACGTTTATAATATCAATATAGGCCCCTAAGTGACCCCTACATCACATCACCACGCATATGCTGCCTCCAAATGTACCCTTGTTTCATCACTTTCGAGCATGTACAATGTGTGTTATATGTTATATGTCCGAGTGTCCTCAGAGAGGCTGACTAGTCTTCTGTTCTGTCCTGGTGTTCCTCCATAGTCGTCTGCTCTTCTGTCTGCCAGTCTTCAACAGAAGGCAGGTTTCAGGTCTAATGCACATTGAGCTTCCTGCAGCCTCTTAACCCTGCAACCCTGCTCCCTCCCAGCACACCCCCACACATGAACACACACTCACATACAAAATCCCTCTGCCTCATTGTACATTATACCTCCCTGCTAGCACTACCCGGTTTATTTGTCCCGCTGTCTGTGTCGGGGATGTGAATTATTTGTACTACCAGCCTCCCCCCCTGCGCTTGAGACTGAATTCTCCTTTCCTTGGAGCAAATGGGGTTTTCTGCACTTATTGTTCTTGCCTCTGTGCCTGTGTGCTGCTTGTGTGGCTCCCTATATGCCATTCTCTGTAGAAGCTAACCTAGTTTCTACAAAAGCCGTGTAAAAGCTAAGGCTTTTACTAGCCTACAACCACTAGGATAGATTAGGTAGCCTCCAAAAGTATTTCTGTATTTTGGATGCATTATCTGCTTTCCTACTTAATAAGAGATGTCACACTAATTATGAAGCATTTGCTTTGGTCTACTGTCTACTGTTTTATAATTCTTGAATGTCCATTATACAGAATATTTGGCCCTTATTGTGTTCATATGTCTATAGATTAGCTTAAAAAGTGTAAACTTATCCAACAACTGGGTGTCAGATTAAGATTTGTATGTGTTTTCTTCAAACTGCCATCTTGAAGGACACCAAGCACACTGAGCTGTCCAAAGTGCTCCCAAATAAGACGGTATGTCTACAGAGCTACATGTAGATGGCTAGCAATATGTAGCTGTGTTAGACCTGTATAGTATAGCCTATAGTTATAGCTGCAGTGTTTGATGTTGTTCTGTGGTGTTATTTAGAAATTGCTCTGTTTAATTGTGTTTTTAGAAAATGGGCAGGAAGTTTTTGCATTCATGTTTTGTGACCAGCAAGGCTCAGTACTTTCTCCACAGCGCTCCTCACCTCTCTTCTTCCTTCAGTTTTGGATGCCTTGGAGTCATTTTCAGTCTGGGACTTTGACAAACAAATAAATAAGTTTGTTAAATCCAGCTTCAATCATCAACATAATGTTTCCAAACAGAGCAAAATTCATTGACCATTAATTAAAGACCATTTTATGCCTTTATTGGATGGCTAGGGGGAATGACATGTGACAAAGGTCCCTTGCCAGACTCGAGACGTTGCCATTATATAGTCAGCACTTCAGTCCTTCCCTGCTCTATATTCTGTTCAATCAAGCCCTCTGGATCAACTGTATAATATATAAAATGTTACATAAAGTTTAGTTGAGTCATTTCCTATCCGGTCAATGCATTACACATTACGTAATCATTTATCATTACCTTTGTTTGAAATTAAGAAATATTGTGACTCATTTCCTCCTTATTGTGCCACACCTCAGTTTGGGTGTTGATTAATCAGGAGAGGGAAGGCCCTGGATAAAATCCTTTTAATATTACTTTTCACCACAATGACGATGTCACCACATCTTTGAACATGACATGCAGAATACTCACCTTTTTTTAGTTCACTCAGAGCAATGCTTACATTCATGACAGTTACACATTCACACTTGCTTCCCAGTACAACCATGCTGAACTGCTGGCCATTGAGCAGCTCCACTGAAGCACTTGGGGTTCAGAGACCTCCGTGGTGGTAATGAGGTGGGGGTAAGCGCTGCTTCTCAATTTCCTTACTCAGATTTATTAGGAGATTGAACCGATGACCTTCCAGTCGCAAACTCTCTTCTCTAAGCTTTAGGTCACCAGTGCCTCCTATACACAAAACATACACTTGTGTGAGCACAAACAAAAAATTAAATTGAACTGGTTAAACTTATTTCAATGTGAATTTGTAAAGTAAAGAATTAGTGAAGTATTTTTAAAACGAATTCTTAACTATCTATCTAGTATTACTTGAAAGCTCTAGCCTTTTTCTGACAAGCAAACACACAACATGTTGTGACTCACAGAAGAGTCACGCCTTCAGACATTGGAGCTGACACTAAGTGGCGTGTCTATCAGTAGCCTGAAGACACATTTTTCCCCAGAACGCAGGCCGGTAATTGAACCTTGTGACAAAAGTCTGAAAATAAACCGTTTTGCACTGACTGAATCTGCGTATCATTCAGTAATTCTGCTGCTCCAGCATTTCTCTTGTATTGTGGGAGCTGCTCCAGGAGAAAAGGCCTTGGTTTTTGTCCACATAAAGTTGCACAATCACTGTGCTGCATGCAAATGACTGGATTCTATTGTGTTGCTGCAAGTGATATCTTTGTGAAGGACATAAAGTTAAAACAATTGAATGGGGGCATCCTGTGGCCCATGGCGAGGCTGTAGATTATATGGCCTTTGTGTGTGTTAATGTAAGGTGGTGTGGCAGTTTAACAGCCTCCCTATGTGAAGGAGGTGGTGTGTGATGGAGGCTCATTCACAAATGGCATCTGTTTTCTTATTTATCCAAGGTTCTTGTTTGTGTTCAGATGCTAATAGACTCAACACGTCTTTTCAGAAAACAGTGCAATTATCACTGACTTGTTTTTGTCTTTTCTATAATTTGTTTTTAGTTGCAACACACTGCCGAGCCGGAGAACTCTGAAAAACTCCCGACTGGTATGCAAGAAAGACGATGTCCACGTCTGCATCATGTGCCTGCGTGCTATCATGAACTACCAGGTCAGCCACCTGCTCTCCCCAGAGGACATCCACACGGACTGCATGTCCCTCTGGACTAAAGCAGACTTATCTAACTGAAGCCAAATTCAATTTGCTCCACTGCTAGTTCTCCATGTTTAATTTATTATGCAGAGGAATGCACCTCTTGCTTATTCAGTGGCTCCTCTTCTCTGTAAATTAACTTGTTTGTCTCTGTCTTCCTCCCTCTCGTTTGTTTTTCATCTTCCAGTACGGCTTCAACATGGTCATGTCACACCCACATGCTGTGAATGAAATTGCATTGAGTCTCAACAATAAAAACCCAAGGTAAGTTAAAGCAAAACATTACAAATACCAAAACTCTAAAGATTGATCTTTAAAGAACTAAAAGTCATTAATAAGTAAATACACAGAAGATAAAAGAATTAATAAGACATTTGTTATATTTGGAGCTTACTAAATCCATAATGAAACCTTCAGAGTCCAACATTAGCCTCAGTGCACCTGCACAGTCTGATCCAGAGTGAGTGTCTTTGTAGCTCAGGGGCACATTCATCCTGACAGACGGGTCAGGGCACTGCTGGCATACTCCACTACACTGGCAGCTGCTTACTGAGACAGCCACCAGAAGTGTGTGTGTGTGTGTGTGTGTGTGTGTGTGTGTGTGTGTGTGAGAGAGGGAGAGAGTTTGGATGGATGTGCTTTCACTTCGAGCCCTAGGCTCAAGGATTTCCTCAAAAAGTGGATGTGAAGTCACTTCGAGTCACCTGTCACATATCATCTCAACCAGGCAGTGAAATCCTGCATGAATGAACTGGAAACTGGACGCACAGGATGTCGCTGTCCTGTGTGCTGCAACACACACACACGGATTAGGCCTGGAGTATTCATTTTTTATATGTGCCTTTTAATCTGTTGGATAAGATGAATGTGGAGCTCTTTTATTTATTTTTCCTCTCAGGCTGCAAAACTTTTTCAGTGAGTTATTTAAGGCAGACCACATATCCTTGACGTGTCAGCATAATAATACATTTTATAACGTGGTTGATTAATATTTACAAAGATTTATAAATTTAAAAGGACATCACGTGTAATACACACTGTAATTGCTATGTGGATCCAGTCTACACAGGGGTTTCAGCATTGACAGGATCTTAAATTACACTGTTTTCCACTTTGTTTGCTCAGTGTTTAAGTACAGGTTTGCTGCAGCGCTGGCACTTGTCATTTACTAACTATTGCTGCCTTTATTTTCTCCCTGTTTTACAGAACTAAAGCTCTGGTCTTGGAGCTCCTGGCGGCAGTTTGTCTCGTGAGAGGAGGCCACGAAATAATTCTCTCTGCCTTCGACAACTTTAAGGAGGTATGAGCTGCACGGGAGAGAGGAAGTGGGGTCTAAGGAGACGAATATGTCATTACATTTTCGACTGTACAATTTTCAAACAGTGACTCAGCCCTGGAGGAATGCTCCTCTGGCACATTCCTCATACCTGCAAAGGGATAGCATCTAGGAATGAGCTATTTGTCGAGAGATTACAGACCGTTGTTTAGCTGCATAACACAGGAGGGACCCACTCAGCCTCCAGAGAAAAGTTACGTGTGTGCTAACTGGCTTTGGCAGACACATCAAAGCTAAGGATAGCAGAGAGAAAGTTGCAGCAGACAGCCTTGCCTGACCCTTGCCTGTCTGGATGAGGTATTCTGGCTGCTGGAACAGAGAGTGGGAGGTTTATGATGGAGAGGCCGCTAACAGCAGCCCCATTTTGTAGCATACGGCCCGCAAAAATGGGCCGCCTGCAGTTAATGCAATATTTACACCCCTGAATGAAATATTGAGTGTTGCTCTCAGTAGCATTAGCATTAGTGGGAGAATGAGGCTCAGGGAGAATGTAGCTCTTCTAATGAGATGAAAGTTAGAGTCATGATAGTGTAGGCAGCTGGAAGCATTTGAGGACTTGCTCACATGTCTGTATCCTTTTTAAAGGTTGTAAAGGCAGATTTTGGTTGTCTGTTTTCTTTTGTTAAAAAGTGATGCTTTCAAATGTGATGTTATTAGATCTCATTTGCTAAGTGACTTTGATATCCAGTGTTTGACGACGGGGCCGCAGGCTGAGACTCTAAACATTATTCAGAGGCTTTTGGATACACACCCCTCCTCTTCCTTCCTCCCTTCGTTCTCAATTCTTTGTCATGCTCCATCTCCCTTGTTGCCCCCCAGATGAACTGTCTGAACTGCAGAGCATCTCTCTGTCTCTCCCTCTTTTTTAGCTCTCTAGTACAAATAATCTTTACTGGCAGGACTAAAAAACTACAGTACATGTGGTACAAGTTGTACCATAAGAAATATTGATGCACCATGCACATCAGGTGACTTCCTATAAAATCAAAGAATCCAATCAACAGCAGTTCATGAATAACTGATTATAAGACTTATTTCACTCTTTTTCTGAGGTTATGGTGACTGGTGATGTATTTAGCAGCTAATGTTATTGATTTTTCATCTTCATACCTCTTGTTTTCTGACAGGGCAATAGTGATATTTGTTGAAATTTGTGGTTAAAATCATGAGGTTTTACGCAGAAGTCAGGACTGTTTTTGTCTCAGGCAGCAAATTTCAGGTCAGCTGAGTCAGTGAACTCTTTTAAGTCCCTTCTTAAAACAGACTTTTATAGGAGAGCCTTTCCCGATCTTATTTGACTTTATTTTATCCCTTTTATTTTATTCTATTTTACTAATTTTATATTTATCTTAAACGTGTATTTTAGTCTTTTCTTTTCTTTATCTTGTATTGTTTTTGTATTATTGTTTTTTGGGTATTATTGTCTTTACACTTGTTAAAGCACTTTGTAACTTGTTTTTGATAAGTGCTCTACAAATAAAGATTATTATTATTATTATTTATGATTTGTGTGTATTATGAGGAGTTGGTATCATTTATGCAAATCACAGATTGACTGCATAAATCACTGTGTGTCGCTCTGTACACCTAAACACCACTAAACACAATAAGTGAGATGCGGTTTGTTTTTGCAGGTGTGTATGGAGACACAGCGGTTTGAGAGGCTAATGGAGTATTTCAAGAATGAGGATAACAACATTGACTTCATGGTATGTGTACACACACACACACACACAGACTCCTAATGACTTATTGATCGCACTGCAATCCCTAGAAAATCCTACATCACCAGGCACACCCACAGCTGGTGGAGCTGTTTGAGCTGAAGAAGCTCTGGGTGAATGCTGTTTCTCTCTCATTGCTATCAAAGGTTTAGAGGCAGAGTAGGCCTAACTGCAACCTCCAAGTTAGACAGGTGCACATGGAGCTGCAAAGGTCCAGATGTGATGAAATAACAACATGAATCATAGTTCTCAGCTGGTTAGAAATATAGATGTCTAGAATATTATTAACACTGCTGCACATGTGTCCTCATATGTTTGTCCAAACTAATAAATAACTCAAGAAAGGGACCAATTTTGCTTCCATTTTGAAGATACGCACTCTTTTGACCGCATTTGTACTTGGTCTTGTCTCGGTCTGGGACATTGAAGACTTGGGATTTTATGTCAAGACCATAACTTTGGGAATATCAATAAATTGCTTTTGCGTTGTCTGATTTATTTGTTAATATCCTAACTTTCATTGGATGTAAAACTTATTGCTTCATATGCAACCAGTAACCCTAATTAAAAATGTGTTGTTTCCGTAACAACCGTCCACCCTCCCCGCGATGGTCAGCATGGAAAAGGAGTGTTGAATAAAGATGCTTACGTTGATTTCAGCTCTTAGTGTTTGTATAGGCGGTTTTCGACCAAAAGTACCTGGGACTTTTAAGTAAAAGGTTCCTTCAGCCCACTGTTGTGTGCGTTTCCACCATGGTCTAAAGACCTGCGAAGATTAGGCAAATTAACCAGCTGACGTAGGCTGTACACAGCGCACAGGCATCATTATTTGTAACCACTATCCATGAGCAACATTTATAAATGAACATCAGATTTTACTTGAATATAATGAAAAACTATAGGCTTAGCTTGAACATTAAAGCAGCTTTTTTGTGGGGGAGTATAATGAGGAGGCAAGCGATAAAGTTCGTTACACATTTAATACCAAAGTGGATAGAGCCATAAAGTTCTTAAAATAACTCCAGTACAGAGAAAGCAGCACAAAAATAAAATTGCGACAGTTTGGAAGGTTATTACAACATTTCCAGCCAACAAGAGCTGCAGATCAGCTGGCAGCTCATGTCTGTGTCTGCCTGCGTCGGAGGAACGGGATGTTTAACGAGCCTGCTGTAATCAGCTGGTCCCCTTGTTTTGGAGAGGAGGAGACCGAGTTCGTCTCCTTATAGAAACTTCCTGACTGATGAAAACTTAAAACAACAACTTCTGACCCAGTATTTAGCGTAACTCCATCAGCTGCTCGCTGTAAACACACTGCTGAACGCTGGCTGCTGTTTCCCAGCTATAAATTCAATGCCGACATACGATCTCAGGCGGACATCCGCGAGACATGTGTGGATAACAAACTGGATAAAACCACCAAGTTCTTAAAATAACTCCAACACAGATAAAACAGCCGTCATTCTCCAGTTAAAGCCAGTAGCCTCTACTCGCCCATTCAGAAATTCACTGCAAGGTAAGCCCCGCCCACCAAAGTACCCGGTACTTTCGGAAAGTATCCTAATAAATCCTAATGAATCATAATAAACATAAAATTACTGATGAATTTATTCATACAATGCATAGCATGAGTCTATTTCCGGTAATAACCAGACCCAGTAGAATTACATCTCATTGTGCCACCCTAATTGACAATATTTTTTACTAAATAAAAGTGAATGGTTTATTAATTATTTATATCAGTGACCACCTGCCAGTTTTTACAGTTTATGATTGCAAATATAGGATTAATAAGTCCGACAAGCAAACCGAATTTAGAAGAGTGAGGTCAGAGAAATCTATTAACAAACTGAAAAAAGATCTGCTGGCACAGGGATATATCAGGAAAAAGACATTAATAAGGCATATGACATATTCTTAGAACTTTTTAAATATTTATATGTCAAAAATTGTCCAATAAAAGAATATAGCAGAAAATTAAAAGATATACAAATTGCCCATTGATCACAAAGGGAATATAGAACGCATGTAAAAAGAAAAATACACTGTATAGGGAATTCATAAGACGGGGAACCATAGAGACAGAAAACAAATATAAAAAATATAAAAATAAGTTAACTCAAATTATAAGGGCCTGCAAGAAGGAGTATTATAAGAACAAAATAAATTAGATAAACAATATTAAAGGAATATGGGATATAATGAATAGTATTATAAGAAATAGTCCTAGACAGATAGGTTATCCTAAGTATTTTATTGATAAGGATAAGGAAAATTACAATATGAATGATGTGGCTAACAGTTTTAATCAGTTCTTTGTAAATGTGGGACCTGACCTAGCTGGAAAAATCCCTGATCCTAGGACATCTGAAGATCACTGTAATAAATTAATAGAGAGAAATCAAAGCTCTATATTTCTCAAGCCAGTGGATGAGAAAGAAATATTGGAAATTGTGAGCAAATGCAAGAACAAAAAGTCTACCGATTACAATGACATTGACTTGACCATAGTGAGAAAAGTAATTGAGGGGATCTCAAAACCATTAACATATATATTTAATTTATCATTTCAAACAGGTTCATTTCCAAACAAAATGAAAATAGCCAAAGTCATACCTTTGTATAAAAATTGGAGCAAACACCACTTCACAAACTACAGACCTGTCTCCTTACTTCCACAATTCTCCAAAATTATTGAAAAAGTCTTTAACAACAGATTAGATACATTCTTGGATAAACATCAATTACTCACTGACCGTCAATATGGATTCAGATTAAACAGATCTACATCGATGGCAATAATAGAAGCAATTGAGGAAATCACAAATGCCATAGATCAAAAAAATTATGTAATGGGGGTATTTGTTGATCTCAAAAAAGCTTTTGATACAATTAACCATGACATACTCATAAATAAACTGGAAAGGTATGGTATCAGGGGGTTAGTATTAGACTGGGTGAGGAGTTATCTTAGTAAGAGACAACAGTTTGTGAAGTTGGGAAGCTCCAGGTCAGTAAGTTTGGACATTGCTTGTGGTGTCGCCCAGAGGTCAGTGGTGGGACCAAAACTGTTTATTTTGTATATTAATGACATATGTTCAGTATCTAAGTTGTTGAAGATGGTGTTATTTGCAGATGATACAAATATATTCTGTTCAGGTGAAAACCTACAGCAAATAGTGAAGGATGTCACTAAAGAAATGAACAAATTAAAAATATGGTTTGTTAGAAATAAATTATCATTAAATTTAAATAAAACTAAAATAATGTAATTTGGGAAATGCAATATGAATATTCAGGTGAACATAAAAATAGATGGGGTTATAATTGATAGAGTTCATGAAAATACATTTCTTGGGGTGATTATAGATGACAGAATCAGTTGGAAATCACACATTAATCATGTACAATCCAAACTATCAAGATCAATTGCAGTATTAAACAAAGCAAAGCAGGTTCTGGAGCAAGAATCACTCCACATGTTGTACTGTTCACTAGTTTTACCATAATTTATATACTGTGCTGAGATTTGGGGACACAACTACAAAAGTTCATCTGTTCTCCAAAAAAGAGCAATAAGAATTATTCACAATGCTGGGTATAGGGATCACACTCACTCATTATTCTTACAGTCAAACTTATTAAAATTCACAGATCTTGTGAAGTATCAATCAGCCCAAATACTGTTTAAAGCCAAAAATAATCTATTGCTGAGAAATATTCAAATATTATTCAGGGAGAGAGAAGAAGTTTATAATTTAAGGGGGACACACAACTTCAAAACAAAACACCGAGGATACGAACAACCAGGAAAAGTCTTTGTATTTCAAGCTCTGGAGTAAAGCTATGGAACAGTCTTAATGAGGAACTAAAGCAATGTCCAAACATAAATCAGTTTAAAATCAGGTATAAATATATGGTTTTCAATGGTTACAGGGATGAAGAAGGGGGTGAATAATGTCCGAGTGTTTTTGGGGCTAGTAATTATCTTCAGGTTCATTGTGTTATTATTACTTCATTTTTTTCTGAGCTGCTGAAATTTATAATTTATTCTTTCCTATTGTTTATTTATTTATTTATTTATTTTTTCCCTGATTAAATAATTGATGTACATTTTGAATTGCTTTGGGGTATAACAAAGTAGATGTGTAAATATCTAATATAAGTCTTGGTCTTGTCTCGGTCTCGATAAACTCTGGTCTTGATCTTGTTATGACCTGGCTCAAAAGGCCACAACAAATGTTTATTTAACGAAAATAAGCCAAATCAATAGTTACTTCAAATTAACATAATTAAAGTATGAGGTATGTAGTCTGTGCAGGATGATGGGTGCATGAATGTATGTGTGAAGGTGTTGTAATATGCAAAAACAAGATAAATACCACATAGCAATAGCCCAAACTAAAGGGGAAACCAGGGAGGTCTGACCTGGCCTCAACAGCAGCTACCTGCAGAATGAGAGAGCAAGGTTACAAATAGCCTACCCTTAAGACACAGGGCCCAGGTGTTTTCAGTTAACACAATCAGCTCTTGAGCTACAAGAGAGAGGGGGGGGGGGAGAGAGAGTGAGAGAGAGACCACACCCACTCATATACCCACAGGGCATCACAATCTTGACTTGGTCTCAGTTTGGGCGGTCTTGACTACAACACTTATGTAAGGCATTATTTTTTTTTAACTACTATAAAAAAACTACAGATGTGTGGATGCAGTACATCAAACTGGTGTGGCACTAAGCAAGAAACCCTTGCCAACTCTGTCATTTCCATCCTTTGCAGATAAGAATAAAAGACCCTGTGAAGAAAGGGCCAACTTTGACATGATTTTATCCTGTGTGAGTGAAAACCAACAGAAGCTGTGTTTGATTAGGCCTTCAATACGAAAAATATCCGCTCACGGTCATTCGGCAGGCCGTCATGTGACAGCAGCACTAAAGTAAACAGAATTTGTCAAAGCTGCCATGTTGCTCCGAGACAACAGAGCTTCTTACTGGAAGTTCATTTAGCCAGTGTCAGGCTGAGGAGAAGTGTGTGTGACACCGTGAGGAGATCCGTCTTGATCTGTTTGTGTCTGTGTGGTGGAGTTGAACTGGCTGATTTTGTTAATTTGTTTATTCTTTCCCGGATCCTTTTAATCTGCCAGATAAGCTACTCTGCCAGCCAAGAAAGCACAACAATTGATACACACAATTTCAGTGGAAGCCATATTAAAAGGAAATGTGATGTGACAATGAGCTTGAAACCACCAAAACCAAGCGCCTGCTGTTACCGGCTGTTGTACAAAAATCTCTAGCCTGTTGTAAAAATGTCTGTTAACAGATTTTTATCTTGCTTTGTTTGTTTGTATATCATGGAGTATATTATATGCAGTGTTTAAAAACATTGATGAAGTCTACTTTTAATGTGTTGCATCCTCATTCACTTACTGTATTTTTTTCTGGTTTTATTCCCCAGGTGGCCTGTATGCAGTTCATCAACATAGTTGTGCACTCGGTGGAGGACATGAACTTCAGGGTTCATCTACAGTTCGACTTCACCAAGCTGTGTCTGGACGACTACTTAGACGTGAGTTGAGACATAATGCTGCAGGAAAAATGCCCAGACTGAACACCGCCGCTCTTAATATTCACCTCAGTCCAGAGCATTTGTTGAAATTACAGCACCCCCGAGACAGCAACCACAGAAAAGCAGTCAATGTCTTTTCCATTCAAAAAAAGTGAATTGAAGAAATAAATACCTTGACCTTCTCACTCCCTAACTGCCTCGCTCCTATCATCACGATGTCTCTTTTTGTCGGCATGTTTTCCAGAAACTTAAGCATACGGAGAGCGATAAGCTGCAGGTTCAGATCCAGGCCTACTTGGATAATGTGTTTGACGTGGGAGCCCTTCTGGAGGATGCGGAGACCAAAAATGCTGCCCTGGAGCGAGTGGAGGAGCTGGAGGAGAACATGTCGCATGTGAGAGACCTTGATAGTTGATTATACTCTAAAAAATCCTCACAACGGACTCCTTAGTCTCGTTTGTCTTCTCTCACATAAGGCTATGTATTGTGCCCTCTTAACATGGGATTTATTATGATGTCATGCTTTCCTAAAAATATATATGTTAAATCCTTCACATCAGTGTCCTGCTATATATCTTTGTTGGCATATATATATAATATATATATATATATATATATATCAGTATAGAGTTGGATGTTGTCATGGCAATGCGTTAAAGTCACTGTGTGACCTTTTCCTCCTGGCTATTGTTTTTATAGATGACAGAGAAGCTGCAGGACATGGAGAACGAGGCCATGTCAAAGATCGTGGAGCTGGAGAAGCAGCTGATGCAAAGGAACAAGGACCTTGAATCCATCAGGGTCAGACACCCACACATTCTGCATTACATAAACCGCACATTTATTTTTCATTCATATATTTGTACCAATGGCATTAAGTGTAATATTATAAGTGTTTCATGGAAGAACAACGGATATTCACATCACCACAGTACATATTTACAACAGTACCACAGAAGTCAGTGAGTGTACTTTTTGTAATAGGAAATTACTAAGTAATTATTTACTTTAAATTAGTACTTCATATAGTTTTTTTCTGCTGCCAAACTTTGGAAAGCTCTTTATTATCTCCATGGTTCCTCTTACATTTTTATAAATCATCCCTCCCACACAGGAAGTCTACAAAGACACGAGCGCGCAGGTACACTCACTGCGGCAGATGTTGAAGGAGAAGGACGAGGCCATCCAACGACAGAGCAACCTGGAGAAGAAGATCCATGAACTGGAGAAACAAGGCACCATCAAGATTCACAAGAGGGGAGACGGAGACATCTCCATCCTGCCCTCGCCACCCTTCGGTGTGGAGGGCTTGCCGGGTTCCTTGATGGGAGGAAACGGTACAACTTTTAGTCCAAACCATATGGGAGTTGGAACGGGCAGCCTCGCTCCACCACCACCTCCCCCACCCCCTCCACTGCCGGTGAACGGCACATGTAGGTTTAATATTAGTCCAGTTTATTAGCTTATAAGTTGTAAATCATGAAATGCAGAAAGAGGAGAGAAGACAGGGAGATGATATAAACACATTGTCTGATGGTTGTTTACCATACCATCTCTCCTCTCTCACAGTGTCAAACGGCCCATCATTGGCCATTCCTGCAGCAGCAGCTCCCCCTCCTCCACCGCCTCCCCCTCCACCGCCGCCTCCTCCCCCAGGGCCAGCCTCAGCACCAATGCCACCTCCGCCTCCTCCTGCAGCCCCACCACTGCCCGGCTGTGGGACGCCCACTGTCATCATGAACTCTGGGTTAGCAGGTAAGGTCATCTGATCGAACAAATACACACACCGAAGCATGTTTGGGTTTATGAGTGATGTAATATGTGATGAAATAATGATCCTATAATGACGTCTATATTGTGGTACTTTTTATACACATATTAGGACGTTACAGTATTACTTTCCACAATAAACACGTCATTAAGAGCTGCAGTATTGGTACCACAGATAATCATACTGCCAGTAGCTCCTGCTGCAGCTTTGCTTGTTTTTTCAGAGCTATAAGAAAATCCTGCTGCACTCCAGCTACTTTCCTCCACTGCCAACATTTAATGTTAATGCCACCTTAACACCAACTGCAACAACTTCACAGTAAAAGTCTTCCAGTTGCTGGGAATGTGATGAAAGCATTGGCTCGAGCAAGAGGCGCTGCTGAAGGGCTTTTACTGTGAAGCAGCTGCATGAGTGTGATGTACAGTGTTGAGTTAGCCACTGATTGGCTATGGCTTGTTGCTGAGATAGTCTAGTCTGTATTTGTGTGTTTTTCAAAGGTGTACCAGAACAGTATTGCTAAATGATAATTGGACTGATGGAATATTATAATGTAATGTTAAAGTTTTAAAATATTTTAGATTTGAACAACAGCAATTACAGTTTATATCTTGCCAAATGCTGTAAATTATCTATATCTTTAAAGACAGTTTGAACTGTGGTTTTCCATCAGGGTTGAGTCGACCTACCAAACTCACATGATTAGGATTGATAAGTAACAAGGCCAGACCCTCATGCGATAGCCTTTTCTGTAACCAGATCAACCTATACCTGAATGTGTACAGTTCACTGTATGTATGATGCGGGTGTAATTTCCTGGGTATGTATGCATGTGTGAGCTAAACTTTTAAAGGGGTAGGTGAAGAAACCGCTTCCCTGAGAAGCTTGAAAATACAGCCAATCAATTTAGTGTGGAAGGTTTTATCTTAAAAGCATAGACCCTTTACCGTGCCGAGTGTTTGAGATGTACATGTGCAAGCTTTCTCACTAACTCAGTTTCTTCATGATTTGTCTTTGAATTGTTTCTTTTTCTGCCAACCAGAGGGACCCATCAAACTTTTCTGTAGGTTTTGCTTGCCGTGTTTGGTGTTTTGTCCCCCCTTACTGTTCCCTTTATCACAAGTTTTGAAAATGGTATTTTCACTTTCTGAATCCCGGTAGAAAACACAGGAAAAAGTCCCATTTTTGTAATTTACATAATTTCCCCTTTCATTTCTTTTTGCCACTTTTAACAAACATGAGCCCTGCAACATATAAAACCACATATTCCAAAAACATGTAAATTCTTTCTCTCATTCTCCTGTTTTTCCTCTTGCAGTGAGACTTTCTCTGAAGCACTGAAGATTTTAAACAATAAAGAAAATACCAAATTTCAAAATTCTGCATGGTTTACCCTTACACCTTCTTGTAGCTTTGTTATTGTGTGTGTGTGTGGGTGTGTTTGTACGAATTGAGTATCACCACATCTCAAAGTGTCGGTTGCATGCTGAGACACAGTGACTTGCTGTGGCTGGCAGATGACAGAAAGTGATATGCATTATGCAGAGCTGGAATGCTGTTTACCTTTCCTGCCTTATCTTTCTGCCCCTGCGGACACCTTGTCTGTGCGGCAAAGCAGGGCGCCACCTCCATGCTCAGCCTCACTGAATCAGCCCAGGTGGCCACAAATAGCCATAATCTGTGTGTGTCACCGGGCCAAGCAGGAAATCCTCCCCCTGTGCCCCATTTACTGTACAGGTATACCCTTTGGCCTTATTCTAGTCAGAGGCTAATAGGATTCACTCTGCTAAAGAAGGACCAAGTGTCGTATGTTGTGTACTTTAAAGGAAGGAAACATTCTGACAAAATAAGTTTTAAAAAGTGATCAATTTGAAGAAGGATTGTGCGTTTCTAGAGATAATACAGCCATATCCATGTGTGTCACCAATCCCAGATACCTGTCTACCCTTTCACCTGCACGGGTGCGAATGTATGTGTGTGCACTCTGATAGTATACAGGTACGCTGTGCTAACTCTTCTGTGTTCCGTGTAGCCGTTAAGATCAAGAAACCCATCAAGACAAAGTTCCGCATGCCTGTCTTCAACTGGGTAGCCCTGAAACCAAACCAGATCAACGGGACTGTCTTCAATGAGATTGATGATGAGCGGATACTTGAGGTGAGAGTCTTCTCGCTGTTAGCAAGTGTTACGTCCATTTCTGGCCTGATTTTTACGAAAACGTAACATTAACTGATTTTCTGTTGTCCCATCTCTTTAAGGACCTGAATGTGGACGAGTTCGAGGAGATGTTCAAGACGAAAGCCCAGGGCCCGGCAATCGACCTCACCATGAGCAGGCAGGTCAGCCACAAGGGGCCCAACAAGGTGACGCTACTGGACTCCAACAGAGCGAAGAACCTGGCCATCACACTGAGGAAAGTGGGCAAGACTCCTGAGGAGATCTGCAAGGCCATTCAGATGTAAGACCCCAATACTTCTGGTGTTCTTGCGTGCTTTCTCCGCATGTAGTACTTTTCCTGAATGAGACATTGTTTTGAGTGTACTGCATGCTGACATTTGATGAACACCAGACAAGTGTTTCATTAAAAATTCAGTTTCGAATTAATGCTTTTATCTGCAATTTACAAGTGAATGTATGATTGTTTTTATTTTATGTCTGTTCCCTCCTGTGTCTTTCAGATTTGACCTACGAACTCTGCCGGTTGACTTTGTGGAGTGTCTGATGCGCTTCCAGCCCACAGAGAATGAGATTAAAACCATGCGTCAGTTTGAGAAGGAGCGCAAGCCACTGGAGAGCCTGACAGATGAGGACCGCTTCATGATGCAGTTCAGTAAAATCGAGCGACTCATGCAGAAGATGACCATCATGGCCTTCATCGGCAACTTCTATGAAAGCGTGCAGATGCTCACGCCGGTGAGAACTGGGATCTCTTTTGTGTGGGATGCAATATTATATTGTTATATATATATTGAGACCGAAACTGTGTATATGTGATGTTGCTACCATAGAAAGGGACAGTGTTGCACTGAATTTGACATATTCTCTGTCGTCCTCACCGTTTCCCCACAGCAACTTCATGCAGTCATCGCAGCATCTGTGTCCATCAAGTCATCACAGAAGCTTAAGAAAATTCTAGAGGTAAGTAAATCATTTGCCTGCACTGAACATAATGTTAAATTAATGCATGGCTTCCTTTTTCACACTCTTATTTGTCGGTCAGATTATCTTGGCACTTGGAAACTACATGAACAGCAGCAAAAGAGGAGCGGTGTACGGATTCAAGCTGCAAAGTTTAGACTTGGTAAGTTTACTGCTTCTGCTTTTTAAAGCCTTCTACTCAGGGAATGACATTAGCATTAGTACAGGGTAAATGTTGGCTGTAGCAAGTAAAACTTTCAGGTCACCTGCCACAAAATGCAAATTGGTTTTTCTATATTAAAAAATTTACTGTATTTAAGCAATTCTTAAAATAAGATAAACGTTATTGATCCCACACTGGGAAAATCAGCAGCAGCTCAAGATTCAACATGTACAATAGCATTATACTAAATATACACATGCATATAAACACGCACACACACACACACACACACACACATATATATATATATATATATATATATAATGTATGTCTTTCAAAGATGGATGAATTGCACAGTGTAAATAAATATACAATAATTGCACAAGAAACAATTAATTAGCAATTACTTAAATAAAATTAAGTTAGGAATAATTAGTGATTAAGGTTATGTATGCTATATTCCATATTTCTGCTGTCAGGTACCACTGACTGTTTACATTTCTGAATTGTTATACAATGATTTCCTAAATGACAGACAAAAAACATGAAGTGGCAGGCCAGGAGAAATGTTCAGTAACCTGCCAAACTGGCAGGTCAGAAAAAAAAACTCATTCAGACCCTGTTTCTACTTCTTCTTTTCACATGTTTTCTAAAGGCCCTCTTTTATTTACATTTTTATTTACAGCTACTTGATACCAAGTCGACGGACCGTAAGATGACGTTGTTACACTACATAGCCAATGTGGTAAAGGAGAAATATGCGCAAGTTTCTCTCTTCTACAACGAGCTGCACTATGTGGAGAAGGCTGCAGCAGGTGAGTCGTACAGTGCACATGTGTTGGTTTTAAGTTAATTTGCTGTGCCACGTGTTGTTGTTTGGCTCCTTAAAGTTCAGTGTGGGATTTGCATGTGCACTGATATGTCTGCTCATGTTAACAGTGTCGTTGGACAACGTCCTGCTGGATGTTAAGGAGCTGAACAGAGGCATGGAGCTGACCAAAAGAGAGTACAGCATGCACGGCCACAACACCATGCTCAAAGACTTCATCGCGCATAATGAGAGCAAGCTGAAGAAGTTGCAGGATGACGCTAAGATTGCACAGGTAACGTGAGCACACCTTGCTTTGTAAATGCTTTAGTGCCTTATTATTTTTTAAAACTCTGTTGAAGGTGACAGGGTTTTTTATGAAGTCACCAAAATGTTTTCTAAGTCTGCTGTCTGTGTTTGAAAGGATGCCTTTGATGAGGCGGTGAAGTTCTTTGGGGAAAACTCCAAAACAACACCGCCCTCCGTCTTCTTCCCTGTGTTTGTGCGATTTGTGAGGGCTTACAGGGTGAGTTGGAAAGTCAAAAAATTACACCTCGCCAGCCAGTTTGTTGGAGAAAGAGAAAGAGTTCTCCACTGATATAGTGCACTTGCATTAATTTTGAATCGAACTCATTATGTATCAATATCAATTAAGTAGAACCAGAGATATCGCCACAATTCCCCACATTCTTGTTCCTCGTCAAAACCTGCCGCCTACATTACACACAATGCAACTCGACCATGCTAATAGCCTCAAGCTGAGATGCAGAGATGAGGAGCGATCTACCGAGGTCTGGTAACTTCACCTTTCTCCACACCCCAAATATGCAATAGTACTCCTGTAAACAGACTGTGGAGATCCTGTTTAAGTCACAACAGCATGTGTGGGGATACAACGATACGTTTGAAATATGTACAATATGTTACTACATCTGGTGTTATCGCTACAGCACAGTGTTTCCTTGTATACCAACACTCATTTAAAGATTATATATACATGACCACAGTTTAAGACTTATGTACTACAGTAGCACAGAAACTAGTGAACGTTTTTAAAATAAGTATTTCGATATATCTTGACAACACCACAGCTCTCTTTGGTAAACTGCAGTATTTAAACACTTTGTAACTTTGTTTAAATGTTTATGCATATGTAATCTCCTCAGCAAGCAGAGGAGGACAACGAGCAGAAGAAGAGACAGGAGCAGATTATGATGGAGAAACTTCTCGAACAGGAGGCCATGATGGAGGAAGACCAGAAAGTAAGTCACCCCTCCTCTTTTTTTCCTCATCCACTCTCTCACTCTATACCCTCCCGCCTGCTTTCTAGGGCAGGAGACTACACTGGAATATGACGACCAGAAGGTAAGCCGGTTCCACTTCCTCCCCTTCTGCTTCATCCTCCCTTCCTCCAGACTGCTGATCAAAGGATTAGTTGACTGCCTGCCGGGTGTAGTTACATCTGCTTCTACAGTTGAACACCCTGCTGAGCCACTTCACTATGACTCAGGATCAGCATTTATACTTCCTAAATGGTTCAATTAACTCACACATTGCACAGATTTACTGAGTAAAGAGATGTGTGGAGCCTGTTTGAGCTAAAATAAATGTAGATTAAAACGTACGCATGACTGAGTAACACTTATTAGATGTTAAAAAATTTCTTGGTGGGTGGGTGTGTGTGTGTGTCGTCCTCAGTCTCCATCTCATAAGAACAAGCGGCAGCAGCAAGAGCTAATCCAGGAACTCAGGAGGAAACAGGTGAAAGACAGCCGCCACGTCTATGAAGGCAAAGATGGAGCAATTGAGGACATCATCACGGGTAACGTTACCTGGGCCTGGTTGCAGTCTCTTGCCACACACACATATATAAAGGGCGCTCTGCATGAAGTTCCCCTCTGATGCTATACATTTAGTCATTAACAAAGGGATTCTAAACCAACTAACACAATGACTTTGGCTCTTTAAAAATTCAGCTTTCAGATGTTTGAGAACCAAAGGTATAACCTACCAAGTACAAACATGCACTGACAGTCTAGCTAATCCAGTGACGTTGAGCTCAAACATGTCTGATAATCATTGCTTATCTTATCTGCTTTGTCATTGCTTTGTAACACCAGCTGTATGAAGACAGAATATAAATTAATCAGAAGAGAATAGCTACTAGATAGATACTAGAAGTGCGATTAAACTCTCAAAGGGCAGTGGTGGAATTTATCTAAGCAAATTTAATCAAGTACTGTGGTTAAGTTTAGAGCATATACTTTATATAGTACATTATATTTTAATTTAATGCTACTTTATAAAAATATATTGCATTTTTACTCCACTACATACATATATCTTAGCTACTACAGCCTGACTAATACACGATTTGTTATGCCGAATATCAATATTGGGGAGTTTAAAAAACAATATGTCGGCTGATATTGGTTATTTTTAAAACATAAAAAGATAACATACACACAATCTTGAGTGGGTTCTCATGAATGTTTGTTTTTTTTTTTTTTAAGTCTTGTGACCAAGTGTAACCTTTTACAGCTGCACTCTCTAGTGGGTAAACTATGTAACGGGGACACTGTTGACGTCAACACTAGTTTGAGCATTTCTGTACAGAAATTACAAGCAACATCTGTAACAACATAACTTTACTATATTCTAACAAACAAAGCCAGAAAGAGGGTAATGGTAAAACTAGGCAAGCTTGGAATAATTAAGTTTTTGTCTTCAGTAGAGCTTACCCCCACCTCCCCCCTTGATGCTGTTGTTGGGTATTTGCTTAGTGCTAACAAGTGCTAAACCCCTGTGAGTCTGCTTTCTCATATTGTGTTTGTCTTGTCTTGTCCTGGCTGTTGTTCTTGTTGTTCTCAATGCAGTGCTGAAGACCGTGCCCTTTACCGCCCGCACAGCCAAGCGTGGCTCTCGGTTCTTCTGCGAGCCCGCCCTCAATGACGAGTACCATTACTAAGCTTATAGAACTGTCGCTCTTCTCTAAGGTTGCTGGAACAAAACGTTCTCTTCTTTTATGTCTTTCTCTCCTCCATTCTTGCATGCCTCTTCACACCTTAACCATCACACTCAACTCTCAGACCTGAGACACACACACATGTGCCTGACTGTGTGTGTTTGCTGTGTGTTCACGTGTTTTCTCCCTCCTGAGCATGACTTTGGTATTGGGTTTAACGGTTTTCTCTGCCCACCTGCATGAAGTGTGACACACCCGTTTATCATCATCATTTTATCAACCATGGCAAACCATAATGTCACAGAGGAAACTGTCTCCAAGGTCACACTCGTATCTGTACTGGCAGGAGATGAAAATTGGTGAAAAGTGTACTCATCAAGTGAAAAGTGAAGCTGTGAGCTGCCATCTAGTGGTGACAGATTGAAAACAAACACTGACTTGTGGAATACTTTCGGGTTCATCACTGATTTTATTCTAATTGAATGATACGGTGTGGTCAGTAGCACCTAACATGTTACAGTCCCATGTTGTGATATACAGTAGTATACGAGCTTCAGTCATCATCTACATGGCAGGTATGACTAACGTCATGATTGTGTAAGTGCCTGTGGCATTATAACTTGCTTTTGTGTCTTTCAATCAGTGTTTTAATTAAAAAAATGATTGTTTGTGTGTTCATTGTCAAATATCATTACTGCTGCTCTTACAGCTTCATGCATGCCGATTGCTTTGTCCCTGCCGCTTTCCTACAATGCATCTCTGCTCTACCAGTTAGCTATATGCTGTGCTTGCTCCTGCCGCCTGCTGACTGGTCAACTCTCTGTCACATGACTTTCTGTTATCTGACAGGCTGACTAATCTTCTGCACAATGTCCACATAGAAGTAATCATTTACATTGCAGCAGTCTGTCTGTCTGCTACTAACACGCACCCAGGTTGCTTCACTTGATTTACACCTGCTTTGTGGATATAAAATCAGTGGTAATCAGTGTTTCCCTGGCTGCACACATGCTTTGGTTTGGTTTTTGGTGAAGACGCTTATGAACGCAACAATCCTGCTGTGTCCTGGAACTATATTTACTTATCTCAGTTCACAGTTGCTCTGTACTAGAAGTTTGAAACGGGCTCTTCTCTGTCCTGCTGGTAGCCACTCTGCAAAGCAGACTGAGTTTATAACACAGAAGAGGGAAGCTACAGAAGCTTTGATCCTCCATGCCATCCTCCTCCCTGCCAGTTGAACCAGTTAACATTCTCCAGCTCTGTCCCCTCTCACACCCTTAGCCTTCTCTGGCCTTTTCCCCATGCAGCCTGCTGCCACTTTGCTTTGCAGAGATCTCTTAGTGAACGCCAGTGTGAACATGTTGGGCTGACCTGCTCTGGTCAGCCGCTGCCTCCTCCATTTTTAACCTTCATTTTGTCTTCTCTTCATCTAGCCCTAAAGAAGAATAATATTACTAAATTTCCCAATGTCTACTCGAGGGTAAGGAACTCCTCCAGTAGCACCTCTGTAGTGGTGGATGTGTCCCAAACCTGGCAAGCATCTCTTTATTACCTCCCTTCCTGTTTTACCTTATTTTCATTTAGGGTCTGCTCAGTGTTGACCTACCTGTCCATTTAGGTTCTCCTAATTATTATCTCCTACAGAACAGTAAATGTGATATCTGATGATAAAAAAAATAGTCACTCTTTTGAGTTATTACCCGCCCTTTTTACGGGGAAGATGCACATGCAAGGGGTTTTCTACATTTCTGGGAGAAGCCTACAAGTCAAACCCCTGTGGCCTGTCTCAGTTGTAACACCCAGAGACAGCTGACCCCCAAGGCTTTGTGTGTAGAACTCATGCTGCTTTGAAAGACAGGCTGCCAGCACTCTTGAGCATATGGGCTCATCAAAACACCTTGACAAGATGACTGACAGCTCTTTTCTTCACCCTCCCCCAACCCCGCCATCCAATCCCCTTTCTTCCCTCTCAGATTTGAGGAATCAGCCTTACAGGCGGGCAGACGCTGTGCGAAGAAGTGTCCGGAGACGCTTTGACGATCAGAACCTGCGGCCGGTGAATAGCGGCGAAGTGGTCATGTGACGAGGGAACAGTGAATGTGCTGGGGTGGGGGAAAGATGGTGAGGATGTGTAACGTCAATAGAGGAAAACACAGGATGTTGGACGCAGAGTGAAGGACGATAAGTGAAAAACGGCGAGTGTATTGTAGCGACCATAGAGATGAGTATGTATATATATTACATAAGAATACACGTTATGCCATGTCTGTGGGATAGTAGCAGCATTTCACTATGAAGGACTGGGACATGTATGGGACTGAATTTAAAGTGTCTGAAAGGTTGATTCAGAAACCTTAGACAAGCCAAGTGCCTGAACATAATTTTGAGGGGATGTCACGCCGTCTTCTGTTTGTCTGATGACTGTTTTTAAATACTCCCCACTTCAAGCAATACAACTTGATCTGGCTTTAATTTTAAGATGTGTAAAACTGGACTTGCGGTGAGCCTTGAGAGCCACGTGAAGAGATGCTTCCTTGGAAAATGTAGAATGTATGGGATGATTTCCCTTCAGCTGTTTCAAATATTGCATCTGTTTGATAACCGTAGTATTACAGTACATTCCGGTGCTCTTTTCAACAAAAAGGGCTGATGATAAGGCACAAAAAAGTTGATCAGGAAATAATTCAAACTCTATATTTGTACTAAAGTAAAAGGATGATGAAGAATGAACAGAAAAGACATAAAAAACAGTAATTCATTTCCAAACAAGAGGCTAATGCGAATTATATAGCCTACATCAGGCCTCTCTAGCCTACAATGACTTCTCTTTCATAAGTTACTACGCTTAACAGAGCAAGCCTCAAAACTGTACCGTCCATTTTAAATGTTGCATTTCTGTAGCAGCACAGCGATTTCTCTGGTTTCAGGGAACAAGTTGAGGCCGACAGGGGGGAAACGAGCCTGTAAACACAACATAAAATAAAATTTTCGACAAAATGTAGCAACAGCACAAAAGATGCTGAACCCTACTGGATGATCTCATTGTTAAAACTGGATATAACCTTTTTTTTTTTTTTTTTTTTTTACAGATTATAAATTCCAGGTTTACTGTGTCTACTCATTTTATTGTAATTTTAATGTATAGTATTTAACCACTGAAAGGATTCCTTTAAGCTCATGCTTTCATGTAATACGTGTCCATGATCATTAAAAACATGTTCATCATCAAAAACATGCTAAAACACGTTTCCTAAATGTACAGATATTTTGCTACAAACCATGTTTTCTTCTTTTTCTTAATTCACATTACCAGATGGTTAATATTGTACATATTGTTTAAACAAAAGTTTTCATTGCCTTGTGCTATACAACTTGAATGTTATTTTAACTTATAGTTTGTTTCCATTTTTGTATATTTAATGAAGCCAAATGCAGCCAGAATCTACAGTAGTCTCAGTCATGCAGGAGACTTGTGGGTGTGTCACAGGTGCGTCAAAGCCAGCTACGAAAACGTGCAACATGTTTCGCAAGAGTTGGTACATTTGAACAGATTGAAATTCATACACAATGTATCTAATAAAACTAGTTTCTATTAATTTGACCTGTGATTAGCTGGTTTTGTTGCTTAGTGATGCACCCTCCTGTAATTATCTCCACTGAAGCACATGCTGCCGATCATCTCCTTTTTCTGTCAACTTCACTGTGTGTAATAGCAACATTTCTCTAACTGGATAATACTGGCATGTTTTTTTTTTGTTTTTTTACTTTCACCAGAAATGTATTTTAGGCAGTTTGTGCTTATTACAAAATAACAAACTTTTTAAAAAATTAGGTGTTATGAGATTTCCAACGAATATGATCAAATAAACTATTTACATTGAATATAGAACCTTGAGATTTGTTTTCTTTTTTTTAAATCGGGTGTAATGGTAGTACAATTGACGAGGTCTTTCAACACATTACATCCTTACTTTGGACAATAACTACACGGAGTCCTATTCAGTTTTTCTGACTACAGCTTCTGGAGGACAAAAGTCAATTGTATGGGGAGAAAAAACAAATAAATCAATTCATCGATGATATGCAAGACTCTCAGCATTTATTGACTTGTCACATGAAGAGCAGTACTTTAATTCTATCTGCAAGTGTGCAATAAATTCTACCTTTTTCTACTGTGATAGAAAGGTGTTTATCCAACTGTATGGTCATTCTGGAGGCTGCAGTTTGTGGTACTGTTGAATTTTATTGTTAGACTGAGGTAATATTTAGGCTACCCTTGATATAAATGCGTTCAAGACCTCAGGATAACACAGTACAATTCCACAGCCTTATATAAGCATCCACAATGATCAATGAGGTTAATCAACACCTTAACAGCTTTTTCAAAAGTAGAACATAATCTTCATGAAATTAGAATTTATTGCAGACTGTTGTATTAGCCTGCACTCGTTTTAGCTAGGTGTCTCCTAAACTTTAGGAAGTAGGCAGAAAACAAGAAAGGTGGTTATAAACGTTGACAGGAAATGCTGTGATGTAAGTAAGAGATGTTAGAACTGACCAAATTACTCCAAATGGCTTGTAGAATACATATTCCGAATACATGTTTACTTTTGAGCCTATATCACAGCGGTGATTCAAAGAAAATGAAATTAAGCACTTGGGCTAATTACTTAAAGAAGGCCCATTTATTTCCTTTTTTTGTTTGTGACATTTGCAACATAGCAAAATAAGTTTTGAAAAAGTAGCTGCACGTTATGTCAAGTGTACATTCATAATGAGAATAAGCTCGGGGATATGTCTGGCCCTAGCTTCCTGGAAATTTGGCCCCTAAATACAGTTGAATAGCTCTGTCTAAAGCATCCAATTACAGACGCAATCCATTGAAACAGTATTTTATTACATTTCACTACAGTATATCAGTTTTAACAAACGCTCCAATTAAAACCTTGATAGATCATCCCTGGAGATCACAGCTCCAGTTAAGTTGTATCAAATCAAACACGTTTTCATTATCTTTGGACGTGTCCACAGATAAGGAATGTGATGTCCTCAAACCTATTTCATCTCATGCTACTTTTCCAGGTGACAGTCAGTCAGTGTGACATTTAAGATATACTTTTAATTGAATATAAAAAATATTGGCAATGGAAAACATGTACAACTACAATCAACTAAAAAAAAATCTTAAAGCTAACAAAAGCAACAAAAAGACAACCTGACATTTAACAACTGATCAGACAATCCATTTCCTGATATCAAATTAGTCACCAAAATACGTGTGTAAGCTCAGTGTAGCACATTCCCCTAAATACCAGAGAAAGGTGTTATCTCACACAGTCCGCCCAGGGCGGTATGACCAGTAAAGTCAGATGAGCTCGGATGGGGAATGCATGTTTGTAGAAGAGGACAAATACAATAAGGGCAGCACAGGTGTGATCATCAAGGTGCATCCAGCTGTTCCAGTAAAGTTCTTCTCCTTTTCTCCAGCTCTCCTTCACTCAGCTCACTGCCTGACGTATCCCAACCTCCCTGAACACAACACAAGCACACTGTATTGTCATAAACAATGGTGGTATAAAGATAAAAGTGAGATGCATTCTAACAAACAAAAGAGGCCCAAAAATGTGCAGCAGCTGCAGATTAAGAGTTTAATTAATTAAACTAGGATTTGTTCTAAAACATACTTTTAAGTGTTAAATTTGACTACTTAAATCTCCATCAACTTCAAAATCAAGGTAACTTCAACAGCAGTTTGCTGGAATAAAAAAAAAAAAAATCATATAGTAATCAAGAAAACCAACCTCCTCTTTTGCCGCTTTTCTTTTAGGAGACTTCTGTTTAGAGTCTGAGCGAGATTTCCCCCGAGACTTGTCGTTCTCTTTATCTTTCTCTAGGTCTTTTTCACGCTTTCCATCACGCTCTCTTCCTTTCTTCTCATTGTCGGAGTCTGGCGATGCCTGGTTGTCATAATCAACCATCAGTGCACATACAAACACATCAGTCATCAAGGGCTGAACGACTTCGAAAATATATTTATATATAATATGTAGGCCATTTTAATATTTAAAATGGTATTTTGACACACATTTCACCTTGAACAAATATTTCACCTCATGCGATTTTGAAATTGCAGTAGGCCATACTGCAGTTTTCATAAGATTTCATTAATTGTTCCGTCCTACATTCAGATTGTACATACACAATAACTGGATTGTAGCATCTTCCTGTACGGTGTACTTACGGACTTGTGACGTCTCTTCTTGCCCTTCTTCTTGTGCTTCTTGGATTTTTTATAGCTTCTTTCTGGTTTTAGAAAATGTCAGTCAATGTCAATAGTGCTGCCCTTCTTCCATTAGATGATAAATAGAACATCTAAGCTTTGATAGCCACTCACCAGATTCTGCACTAGACGAGCGTTCAGAGGGAGATTTGGACTGTGACCTCTTTTTCTTCTTGTGGTACTCATCATCCTCAGACTCTGAGCCCTGTCAAAACATTAAAGTGGAGGAATTCAGAGATTAACAAACCATGATGTGGAGTGTTGAGATATGGGCAAATGGTGTATTTTTGCAGAGTGATTGCTAAATTGTTTGCCCGCAGCTAATTGTCTTGTGTAAGCACAGTGGTGAGGATTACTAACAGATCGAGAGCGGGATCGTTTCCTGTGGTGCTTCTTGGACTTCTTCGAGTGCTTCTTTGTCTTGGAGTGGTGATGTTGGCATTCATGCTGTAAAAACAAATCAAAATACATGCCATGTTAATCATTATCATCTTTGTTATCATGATTGATCAATTCAGCCCGTTCCCGCAGTCAGACACACTCGCCTCTAAGACGTGCATGAAGTCTTTGAATATCCTTTTCCTCTCCGACTCCAGAGTCACATCTTCAAAGGCAGATTCTTTTAAGAATCTCTCTCTGATCTGAAATTGTAAAATGACAGTCATCACAAAACATCAAATGACATGACAGTACAATAAAAATATTAAAGGCATGCTAATGTTTATTACTTTTGAGAATAATTTAGCAATGATTAGAACCCGTACCCCTTCCCATGTAGTCTCAGGCTCCAGTGGTGGTGTGGCCTGCTTCAGCATGTTTTTAAAGGCTGCTTCTTTCCTTTTCATCTTCCTGGCCTCCTCCTTTTCTCGCTCTCTCTCTCTGGCTTCTGCCTTCTCCAATAACTGCACAGAAAGATGTTGCAAAATGGGTTAATCTGATAAACAAAGATCAAAAATGTGAAAACAACAAGGTGAGTTTTTAAGCCCGAGATCCAAAGACACAGATGTTGGCTTAAGCTTCGAAATGTTATCCTGTCAATATACCTTGTCTTAAGGAACTACGCAGGTTTTGTGAATAGCTAGTATGTATGTAGCTCCTGTCCTACATACATACTACATAGGACTTACACTGTTGAAGGCCAGCTTTATGTTTCCTGCATCCAGTGTGGTGGCTCTCTTGTCTGAACTGATGACAGACCCAAAGTCATCAAAGCTAGTGTTGACTTCGACCAGAAAGCCTTTGTCCTGGCAGCATCAGAAGGAACATGCAAGAAGGGAAGCAGGAGATAAACTAAGTTGTGTGACAAAATAATAATAAGAGAGCACAGTGAACAGTTTGTTCCTATGGCACTATGCCAGATATAAATACAATTTTCACCAGAGATATAAACTATCTTACCTTAAGGATATCTTTGATGATCCGCTTTTCATCATGGTAGCGGGCCTTCAAGTCTTCCACATAGAATTTGAACAGATCCAGGGGAGTGGAACCTGCAAAGCAGACGGTAAAGTCAGCAGCAAACAAAACCTTCAACTAAATAATAACAATTAAAAAGGACTGTGTTTTGGGGAAATGTAAAAACTATATAAAACTAAATAATAAAATAAAAGGGGTAAAAAAAACCAACAATGTGATTCATTCAATATTTACATCCTGAGCTGTGTATGCTTTATTTCTGTGTTCATGTCATGTGCTTTTGTCTGCGTGTCACATCCACGTGCTTCAGAGCATTCAGCACATGGGGACGTGTGAAGCCACGTGTGCTGTGGCCTGCTGTCCTACCCGGCTGGCCCAGCATGTTGGCAAAGCGGATGTCTGAGCTCAGGGTCGGGTACATCTCCATCCAGGCAGACATGGAGTGAAGTTGACCATGGTCGTGCAGCTCATCCAGGAATTTCTGGAAGGAAACAACAGAATATGAATTCAGGACAGCAACCAGGGTTCATACACATTTAGAACAATGAATCTCCATGATTTTAAGCCAATTTTTAATGACTCCGCAAATAAAAAGAGCAGGCCTGTGTCTGCACATGATTGTAAGAATAATGCGAATTAGCCACCTTTAGCGCCCATAGTACCTAGGAGGCAATTTCATTCTACACAGCATCTGTCATTGATGTTTGCTTGGTAACAGAGAAGAAAGATGAACTTTTTCGTAGCTGCTGTCCTCGCCTCCATTATTAAATCTAGATTTCCCAATCTATTTTCTAGACAGTTAATGGTGCCAGGTGGACACGAGCCAAACAAACTACCACAGGCAACTGACGTAGACTCAACACACGTGGGAGTGTAGTGTCACCACAGCCTTCTCTATTTTATAGGCTAATGACTAATCGATAGATGTCATAAGTGTTTACTGGCCTTAGTCAGGCATGTAATTAGCATAGGACAAAAAAGAAGGAAAAAAAACTATACAAGAGTACATAGTGTGGTGCTGTGGGTTGTAACCCAAGAAATTTATAGTTATTGGAATAAAAACTGCATTTCCTCATAGTTTTAGACTATTATCATGACAGTGTTTCAATATATCCTGGCTCTGGCTAAATCTACATCTGTCAACTGCAGAGGCTCTATCCATAACCTGGAGGAGGAACTAGTATAAATGAGTG